AGAGTCAGATCTTACTAACTAAAACCCACCCTGATGTCCTGTCTCACACGCGGGTCTAGGTATGAGGGTGTGGAAACAAAAGTCTTCCGCAGCCCCCGAACTCGTGGCGGCCTGCATTGTCAGGCCCCACCTCAAGGTGCATAGAGGAGTGAGGTGTTGATCTCCTCCGTGCAATACCTCGGAGGCGCGCGTGTCCTTTAAAACGGGGACTTTCTAAAGTCCACCGTCCCCGGACCCATTTATTTCCCCTTCGACGCCCGGTGCGCCTACTGTGGGAAGGTACAGGAGTTGTAATGTCCTATCACCATCTGCTGTAGAATACAAGTCAGTTTTTGTTTTTAAAAAACCCTGCCCCACTCTAGGATTATCTCCTGTGTCGTGGGTGCGTTTACAAACATACAAGTTCACATACACATGACACACAGACCAGGAACAACAATTTATGGATCACACAAAGTGTTGTTCTGTGCGGGAATAGACCCCGCGACACGTTGCACGGCAGCCGGTTGCCCAGCCACCGCGCCAGCTGTGCAGTTGACAAGTTGACATGATAAAAAGTTCTTAGAAATTTAACAATTGGCGTCAGTACCCAAGTATATGTTTCCCTTGTCTAACTAAGTGTTTGAGTTCAAAATTCGTGTAAAAAGCTGTTAATGTGTTTCTGTATTGGGTTATGCGAGCAAATATTGTTTGAGTACTTTATTATTATTTATACCTACATACTCTGCATACTGTTTACTTGTAAATGAAGTCTGTCACACGTGATCTGTGATACTGTGTCTACCACGTGTGTTGTCCTTCTTCATTTTTTACGGGATAACCCGGTAAACGAGCAGACGGATCACCTGATGGTAAGCAATCGGCGCCGCCCATGGACACCAGGAACATCAAAGGCGTTACAAGTGCGTTACCGGTTTTTTGGGGATTAGGAATTTGAGGCCTTCAGAGATTGGGGAGATTGGGGAAGGGGAGGGGGGTACTTAATCCATTTTGTTTTGAATATGCACAGTATTGTACTCTTGTTCATTTATATCTAGCTAGACCTGTGTCTAGATTATTTTATAACCTGACGGCCTAAATTAATATAGTCAATAATCTGTCGTCGGCGGTATTTCCGAACCGATCCGATCTTCAGACCTTCAAGAAAAGAGCGTACCTACTCCTTTTTAAAAGGCCGGCAATGCACCTGTGACTCCTCTGGTGTTGCGGGTGTCCATGGGCGGCGCTGATCGCTTACCATCAGGTGATCCGTCTGCTCGATAAAAAACGTCTGTGGCCGATGCGGGTGCGCGCGAGGTAAAGAAATGAGAAACTACAGTTATTGATTTAAACTGGGAGCGATCAGCGGGCATGGGCATGCATCTCTGCGCGTGCAATCACGCGTGGGCGTCTTGGTCGTCGGGTACAAACGTGTGAACTGAACAAAAAAAAGTATGGCGGACGCAGGACGCGGAACGCCACCGCTCCGCGCGCCGCCGTGCGGGCATGCGCCGAAATAAAATACGCGAACGCGATTGGTCCGTTTGAACATGCCGCGCTGAGGCTCCACAGACTATTTAATCAATCCAAACACAAATCAATACACTGTCTGTACTAATGACTTATAATAAACATTATGTTACCTATAACAAAAAACATTATGTTTCACTAACATGACATTTAACTTAAAATAATATTATTCGCCGGGCGGGCCGTCTAATCATCTCCAACAAAGTCAATGGATCTTAAACTGTCAAACACCAAGCGGTCACCGGTGACCGCGACCTATTGTTCTTTAATTGTGTCTATAAAACCGGTACTCGACGAGTTAATTCGAAATAGATGCGTGGGCGACGTGCCTAGGTCACACGCGGTACTTGGTTTAACTACCTAGGGGCTAGGAGTGCGTTCAACCGGTCAGCTGTGTGATTGTTCAATATTTGTGTTTGAATACAAATAATTAATTAAACATTCAGAACTATGTTTTAATGTTTTTATAATAACTCGTGAGACATACTAAATTAACTAAAAACGCGGGTTACTCACGTGAATATACCTACTGAGAAAAGCTCTACTAGTTTCGAACCACAGAGGGGTTCATGAGGAAGAACCCCATTTAATTTATTTAATATTGTTATGACATATTAACATTATGTGTTAGGTATGCTAGCAGGCCGCGCCGCGGTGAACTTTCTTTTAAGACCTATAAATAATTATTTACAACAATTTCAAATTTTTAAGCGACTTCAATAAAGAAGTTTTTCTTTTTCTATGTATGTATGTATGGCTGAACCGATTTTGATGCGATTTTTAGAAAAGTGTTTGTTTCATTATTAATTCACCGACTTCAAACGGTGAGGCTGAAGTCTGTTTTTAAAACGTAACTAGCTTATAAAAGAACACATACTTAACATAACATCACGGCTTTTATCCCCGACGGGGTAGGCAGATCATGACACACAGATTTAACTAGAATTTATGGGTCACGCAAAGGGTTTTACCGTGAGGGTATTGAACCTGCGACGCCGTGCATAGCCACTGATCCAAACGTGCAGCTTTTTTTAAGGGGGGGAAATTATCCAATGACTTCTCCCGCCTGGGTGAGGCGAGAGAGAGTCATGTGTAGGTATCGGATCGTCGTAGAAATTGTCGAGCCTTCGTGGCCCCTGGGCACGGGCCCCGAGTGCTCTATTATGATAGATACGATACTGCTTCTTTACCGTAACCATTTCTATTATTCCTTCGTTACTGACGCATAGGTACACAAGTACTAGATACATAATACATAGATCTAAACCTCGAGCACAAGGCCAGCAAACAGACAAACAGACAAACAAATATAATATTCCGTAATTGTGGAAACTTAGTCTCCATTATAACGCAGCTATGTCTGACCAAACAAACATCAGCTCATGTGTTAGTTCATCACACAGTATACACCTCTGTAATTGTTTAGTCTTGTTACAATAATTGTTACCTTCGAGCGAGGAATTCCGCGGTATTCTCTTGTATATATATGTATAAGAAATTAACATGTTCCGTGAATGTTTGTATGTATATTATAGTTAGAGTGAAGTGACGTCAACTATACTTCCGGTCAAGAGACGTTGTTAGTACGTGAGATACAGTAATATCACACATTATTTAGGTACAAATTAATACCACGGGTTCGATTCCCGGGTCGGGCACAGTATTACTGAGTTTTAAAATAATTTCAGTAGTAGCACGGAGTCTGAAATTGTGCCCGGTATATGAAAATAGGCTCATCCCCTATAACATGGGACTCATAACATAAATAGTGAAAAGTGGGTGTTACATTGTCCAGTGGCATTAAGTGCCGTAGTGAGCACCTCTGCCTACTCCTTCGGGGGTAAGGGCGTGATGTTATGTCGTTATGTAAGTTATTACCACCGCTACTCTTCCCGCGGGTGTCGTATTTCGTATACCTAGGGTGACCAGCCATCCCTTTTTGAAGGACTGTGCCTTTTTATTATTACGAGTCCCGTCGTCCCCGGAATGGACGCTTGGACGCAAAATTGTCCCGTTTACGGTAATCGCGCGAAAGCATGGAAATACGCACATGAAAATCTATTCGCATCGCCCGTCGGCACGTGCCACCCGACGAGAAATACCTCTTCGACAATTACATGGCGCGATGTTTTGATAATATACTATGAGTTCGTATGCGCTTTCGAAGTTTGCTTTTTGCAATGGTTCACCAGTTATTTTTTGTTATAAACATTTTATTTCTTGGTCTGCCCCGTTGGCCGAGTCTTCGCAAGTGCGACTGCCGGGCAAGGGATCTCGGGTTCGATTCCCGGGTCGGGCAAAGTATTACTGGGTTTTAAAAAGAATCTCACTAGTAGCACGGAGTCTGAAATTGTGCACGGTATATATGGCAATAGGCTCACCCCCTATTACATGGGACTCATAATATAAATAAACAGTGAAAAGTGGGTGATACATTGTACAGTGGTATAATGTGCACCTGTGCCTATCCCTTCAGGGATAAAAGGCGTGATGATGTTATGTATTTCTTGATAAAACTATTGTATTACTGAGACAGAACCATTTTACTTCGGGACGAAAACGAAATAGAGTTCACGGTGTTTTATACCTTGTTATATTGACCCGAGCGTTCCGCTCGCGCCTCAAAGAGCCATCAGACCACCACAGACGGGCCCCAATAGGGCCGATGCCGATTCGGAGTCGCGGAGAACCTAACGGGTAACCGGGGCTCCGGCTCGACGTGCAGGAGAAGGAACGGGGTGGTTTTTAGTCAGTAAGAGTCTGACACTCCCTTCCGCCTCACCCAGGCGGGAGCAGTCATTCGATGATTTTCCCCCCATAAAAAAAACCTATATTGACTATCAACGGTTGAAGGCTGTGTCTCGCACTCACAGCTCAAAGTCATAGTCAAGAGTCGATGGCTTGACCGTCGGTCGGTGGATTCAAGTGTCTAGTAAATAATATAGTATTTTACCTGCGGTGTGGCTCTTGTTCAACAATAATACGTTTACCTAGTACTTTGAGAGTTCACTATTCTGAAAATATTATTATATTGGGTTTTACCAGGCGTCATCATCAAAACAGTCAACTGCTAGACTTGTTTTATGGCATAAGCCGGTACACGAGCAGACGGATCACCTGATGGTAAGCAATCGGCGTCGCAAGTGCGTTACCGGCCTTTTGAGGATTAGACCAAAAAATCCAAAATGTACATACACCCCACTTCTCGGGTTCGATTCCCGCACGGAGCAAATCTTTGTGTGATCAACAGATTGTTGTTCCGAGTCTGTGTGTGATGTGTATGTGAACTTGTATGTTTGTAAACACACACATGACACAGGAGGAAATCCTAGTGTGGGGCAACGGTAAAATTAAACGTTGTTGTGTGCCAAAAGGCCCCAGCATAGTCGAACGCGGCCCTGGGTATAGGACACCCACGGGAAGAGTAGGGGTGGTGTCAATTAATGTAATCTACTTAATTTTAATGTGTATTATTTTATTTCGCAGCAACAATGGTGCCTCGCCCGGTGTCTCCAAGCCCCGCGGAGCCGCTGATACCGCGGTTCTACGCGGGGAGGTCCATCCTCATCACCGGAGCTACTGGCTTCATGGGGAAGGTATGATCATCGTCCAATATTCATAGTCATAAATAAGTGTGGAAAAGCCACGCTTTTTTATGGCATAAGCCGGTAAACGAACAGACGGACCACCTGATGGTAAGCAATCGGCGCCGCCCATGGACACCCGGAACCGCAGAGGCGTTACGAGTGTATTACCGACCTTTTGGGGATTAGGAGTTTAAGGATCGTTGGGGATTCAGGGATTGGGGAGATTGGGGAAGGGGAAGGGGAATGGGAAGATAATTGGGCATCCGATAACCTCACTTACACGACGGCGTTGCTTCACGTCGGTTTTCTATGAGGCCGTGGTATCACTCCGGCCGAGCCGGCCCAGCAGTGCCGAAGCATGGCTCTCCCACACTTCTTCTGCTTCAGCACAAATGGGCCGCATGTCGGTACACCACGACCAGTAGTTACACCGACGTGAAACAAAGCTTGCATTATGTTTCGCTGCTTCAATAGGGCAGTGGCTAAGCTTCCCCCTAAAAAACCACGTATGTAACTCCTCTGTTCTGCTCTCCTCTTTTTGAGAGATCGAATGTACTCAACCCCGCTCCGTCATGTCATTGGTTGTGACAATCTCGACCAATTAATGGCGAGAATGCGATCGAGCTCACTTTGAAATTTCGAATTATCAGTAAACACTATAGCCTATAGTCACCTTGAGATGAAACCGACTTACAATAATAATCTTATACAAGTCGCGGAGAACCTAACGGGTAACCGGGGCTCCGGCTCGACGTGCAGGAGAAGGAACGGGGTGGTTTTTAGTCAGTAAGAGTCTGACACTCCCTTCCGCCTCACCCAGGCGGGAGCCCGGAGTAGTCATTCGATGATCTTCCCCGTTAAAAAAAGTACTACTAAATAAAGCTAAAGAGCTTTATTGTTTGTTTGGACGCGCTAATCTCCGAAACTACTGGTCCGATTTGAAAAAATCTTTTTGCGTTGAATAGTCCATTTACAGAGGAAGGCTATAGGCTATAAAACATCACGCTACGATCAATAGGAGCCGAGTAGAGAGCGTGCAAACGCGCGGTAGTAGCTAGTTAGAAATATGTTACCCTATATTTATTACCGTAGTAATTGGCGTTCCATAGTCTCTGCCTACCTTCATGGGAGACAGGCGTAAAGTTATGTTTATATGTATATTTATTACCATAATACTTTCTGTCTCCATCCAGGTGCTGGTAGAGCGCATACTATCCACTTGCCCCGAAGTCGGTCGCCTGCACCTGCTCATGCGCGACAAGAAGGGACACTCGCCGCAGAAGAGACTCGCTCAGCTCAAGCAGTCACAGGTGAGTGGCGTGATGATATGTATATGTCGCGAAGAACCTAACGGGTAACCGGGGCTCCGGCTCGACGTGCAGGAGAAGGAACGGGGTGGTTTTTAGTCAGTAAGAGTCTGACACTCCCTCCCGCCTCACCCAGGCGGGAGCAGACATTCGATGATTTTCCCCCCTTAAAAAAAAAGTGACATGTATATGGAAAGCTCGTAAAGCTATACTACACTGTAATGAGGGATTTTGAACTTTATTGTGAAAAGATGAAGATTGAAAATGTGTTAGAAGATTTAATCAGGTATGCCTCTGCCTACCCCTTCGGGGATAAAAAGGCGTGATGTTATGTGTTTAGTTACGGTATTGTGTTTATTTAACATCGACTCTATAACCACGGGTGATCTAAGTTACAAATATGTATGTGCACCTCTGCCTACCCCTTACACGATGTAATATTCCGCAGGTGTTCGACAACGTGCGCGCACGCAACCACCGCCAGCTGGACAAGCTGTGCGTGGTGTCGGGAGACGTGTCCAGGCCACAGCTCGGGATGGATGCTGACGCCATCGCACAGCTCAGAGAGGTACGGAGCTAGTGAACTATCTTTCTTTCATGGCATAAGCCGGTAAACGAGCAGACGGATCACCTGATGGTAAGCAATCGGCGCTCATGGACACGAGCAACACTAGAGGCGTTACAAGTGCTTTACCGGCCTTTTGGGGATTAGGATTTTGACGATTATTACTTACCATCAGGTGATCCGACAGCTCGTTTACCGACTTATTCCATAAAAACGTATTTATCTTCACGCTATACGGACTGAGTCCGTAGTGTTACAGCTCATACCATCATTGGGAAGTTTCGTAACACTGCGATTAAGAAGTCGATCACCCGGCCGCGGGTCGCGGGTCGCGGGTCGTCAGCTGCGTACTTTACCTTGATGTTTTATGCAACATGACATGAAATAAATGCAATACCAGAGTACATACAGCATGTAGTATAAATGTAGTATACATTTTAAGTGTGAGAGAGCCATGCTTCGGCACGAATGGGCACGGCCTCACAGAAAACCGATGTGAAACAACGCGTGCGTTGAGTTTCGTCGTGTGAGTGAGGTTATTGAAGGCCTAATTAACCCCTTCCCGTCCCCAATCTCCTCAATCCCTGAATCCCCAACAATCCTCAGATTCCTATTCCCCAAAAAATCGATAACACCTCTGGTATCCCAGGTGTCCATGGCCGACGCCGACTTACCATCAGGTGATCCGTCTGCTCGTTTACCGGCTTATGCCATAAAAATAGTAAATAAAATACTAGAGTATATACACCACACATACATACTAATATTTTTAATGTTTAGTTTTAAACGAAGTAATACCGTGTATAGTTTAAATGATACAAAATCACATCCAGTGGGAATATAGGAATGAAAAATGCTCTGTTATTATTTAAAAAAAAGATTATTTTTCATTAGAAAGACATCGTTTCTATTAAAATAAGAAAAGTGTTGTTTCTTTGTATTTCCAGAACTATTATAACTGTCTGGAGTCAGGACGAGGCTGTAGATAGAGTAATATAGTTATGTATATATATGTAGGCTATCCTTTGACCAAGCGGGCGAGCGAGGCCACAAACAACAGTTAGTTTTATAATTTGGCCCTTCGGGTGCTCCATGGTGTCTCAAACTGCCCACATTATGGAGAATGTAAGACCCTGGCCGCGATAGCCCCCGTGAATTAAATATTATGGCAGTACACGCTATGCCCTTAGCCTACTAAGGCCCTTCGAATTCTGCTATGAAATTAAAAAGCAATGATGTTATCTGTGGCATGTCGAAATGCCCGCCATCTTGTTCGGAGATTTGTTTTTTATTTTTTGTTGACTATTGTCAATTATTAAGATTGGTATTTTGTTTTGTAAAATTATTAACTATATGGCTTGATTTCGGTAAAGTACATAAACATTGATTTGACTGCCTCGTCGGCCGAGTGGCCGCAAAGAGCGACTGTCGGACAAGGGGTCTCGGGTTCGATTCCCGGGTCGGGCAAAATAGGTACTTATTACTGGGTTTTAAAAAAAATCTTAGTAATAGCACGGAGTCTTGAACTGAGTCTGGTATATGGCAATAAGCTCGCCCCCTATTGCATGGGATTCATAATTTAAATAGTGAAAAGTGGGTGTTACATTGTACAGTGGCATTAAGTGCCGTAATGTGCACCCTGCCAATCCCTTCGGAGACAAAAGGCGTGATATTATGTTATTATATAAACATTGCTTACTTCACTTGTTCTTTGTAGAACGCAAAGCAGCGATTTGTCAAATAGTAATAGTAAGTACACAGATATCTAGACTTGCAAGAAATGACACTTATCGATTTAGAAGATTTTTCTTCATAAAAAACCTGTGTATCCTGTCAACATCTCATTATTAAACACGTTCTGAAACATGTGACTTAACTATCCGATTTATGCTTTTTAAAACGTGAGGATAGTCGCACTTAGCCGCTAATTCAAGAGAAACTTGAGTAGCAAAAACGTACATAACATTTATTCATTTTAGTTGAAGTAGGTAAATACTAATATAGTAGTGGTCGCTGGCAGTGTATACTAATATTAGATACAAAAACGCGGTAATTTAGGTACTGATCCAAAGGAGATCGCCAAATCTTGGCCGCGAGAGACAAAAATGATATATTGGTTTTCAAGGACTAATATTGTTAGTATTCAGCCGTGTGTAATTAAGTTCAATATTTCAGTTAGTAACTTATCAAAAAATCCTCCTAACATTTGTTCCCGCTCTTGTGTTTGATAGTCCATTTATTAAAGAAGAATAAAGGGTATAAAAATTTCACGCTGCATTCAATAGGAGCCGAACAGCCTCGATGGAGTAGGTACTATATATAAAACTAGCTTTTACCGGCGGCTTCGCTCGCGTCACAAAAGGATAAAAAGTAGCCTATGTGACATAATTATACCAATACAAATAGCGCCATCTATACCAATATTTTTGTTTTTCCTTGGGAATATAATTTTTTTTCGGGATAAAAAGCCCTATTATTTAATCCGGACTTCTAACTTTCCGTCTGCAAAAATTCAAAGCAATCGGTTTAGTAGTTATGGCGTGAAAGTGGAACAAACAAACAAACTCACTTTCCGATTTATAATATTAGTAAGGATAAATAAATATTAAATTCTCCACGCATGTATTCCGTGTAATATAATTTCGTAATACAATCTGCGTTCGGTGGCGAATGCGTTGCAATTACAAATAATTGTGATGATTGGCAGCTCCGTATACTTCGCTCAGTTACGACATTATATGGGTTGCGACATCTAGTGGTTTTGTATCTTTGTATTCTAAATTACTGATATTATAAAGGAGAACGAGTTGATTATTTATTGGACCAATTGAAAATCACCATTAATAAAGGTACATAGGTACCTCTATTAATGGTGTTTGCGTTGTGTTTCGTCCTGTGAGTGAGGTTACTGGAGGCCCATTCCTCCTTCCGCTTCCCCAATATCCCCAACCCCTGCACCCCCAATAATCCTCAATTTCCTAATCCCCAAAAGGCCGGTAACGAACTTGCGCTGATTGCTTACATATCATTAGATGAACCGTCTGTTCGTTTACCGGCTTATACCATGAAAAATAGATTCTAACCTTAAACCACTGTCGCGGAGAACCTAACGGGTAACCGGGGCTCCGGCTCGACGTACAGGAGAAGGAACGGGGTGGTTTTTAGTCAGTCAGTCTGACACTCCCTCCCGCCTCACCCAGACGGGAGCGGTCATTCGATGATATTCCCCTTAAAAAAAAGCCTTAAACCACTGCCGCAGCAGAGGACAGAAGTTGGCAAGTTACACTAACTCGCCTCAACTAAGACAAGAGGAGACATTTTATGATATTCATCCTAAACATTGACATTGGTTAATTTCATCCCGATACTAGTAAAGGATCGACAACTACTCAAGAAAAATCGTCTAAAAGAAACGCAGACGAAACAGTGTATGATAGAATTGTTCTCTGATAATAACTACCTCCTTATATTTGCGACACACGATGCAGGTAGTACAATGTTTCTGTAGGCCGCGGGCCAGTGCATGGCCATCAGATCTCGTGGGAAGTAATAGGCCTATGATGAAAACAGCTCGAGTAGCACTATAGGTGTAATGTATTGTTATAAAATAAAGTTGTAAATATTGCATCAGCAACATGATGAGTACGCGCTCTATCGGTTAATTACTTAACTTTTATTTGTACTTCAAGGACAAAGATCAAAACTCTTTTAATAGAACTGTTTGAATGTCAAATAAGTTCCTGAACAAACATGACTTAAGTCGGACTTAATACTAAGTTGAAGCTACATGTGAAAAAAGGAATTATCAGCTAGGCTACCTCTGTATGATTTCCCCCCCTTAAAAAAAAAAAAAAAGGCTACCTCTGTACCTAATTTACAATTCGAAAGATTGAAATAAACTGGATCGTGGTCCGTCATGTTATTGGTTGTGAGAATAATCTCGACAAATTGACCGAGAATGCGATCGAGCTCACATGGAATGTTCGAATTGACAGTAAACAGAACAGCCTAGTAGATCAGAGTCTGGAATATGCCTATATTTGTCACTCTGCAGGCTTTTTACATAATATTTTATAAACTCGACATCCACCGGGCGTTATCCCTGCGGTCGCTCGCACAGAGTGCATGCGAATATCGTCTAATGATGGTTGACCGTCCACTTTGTCGATGTTTATATTGACTGTTTGTTTGTATCCCAGGTGTCCATAGTGTTCCACTCAGCCGCGACGCTGAAGTTTGACGAGCCGCTGCCGGTCGCCATCGACCAGAACGTGCGCTCCGTGGAGCGACTGCTTGACATCTGCGACAAACTGCCCAACATGGAGGTAAGAACATCCTGCTAATCAAGGACTAACTATTACTTCTTTAATAAAAAATGTTGGTTAAAGGCAATCTACACAAATCTGAATTAATTTACACAGATGTATAAATTGACTAGATGTGACTGCCTCGTTGGCCGAGTGGTCGCAATTGCGACTGCCGGGTAAGGGGTCTCGGGTTCGATTCCCGGGTCGGGCAAAGTATTACTGGGTTTTTAAAAAAATTCTCAGTAGTAGCACGGAGTCTGGAACTGTGCCCGGTATATGGCAATAGGCTCACCCCCTATTACATGGGACTCATAACATAAATAGTGAAAAGTGGGTGTTACATTATACAGTGGTATAATGTGCACCTCTGCCTACCCCTTCGAGGATAAAAGGCGTGGTGTTATGTTATGTTTGTGAAGTGAGTTTTCTTGTGCGAACAGCCAAGGAATGAAATTCTTTGATGGAATGTGAGTTTCCCGATAACTATACAACTTGGGTGTCTTCAAGTCCCGAGTGAACAGCTTGCTCAATGGACACATTTAGTTTTTCCTTCCATGGTGCTTGGCGACTGGGCTTCTCCCAGTTGTACACAGTCTCTTTTTGTGCCTTTAGGCTTAATTCATTCTGTCTCCTGCAGTATTTCGCCGAGGGAAGTGGAAACTATCGTTTTATTCTTCTCCTCTTATAATATCTTCTGATTAATTTCGTTGCGAGAACCAAGACAGTAGTTCATGTCCCTGGGACGCCCCGGACTTCAGTGTTCCGGTGTTTTCATGGTTGTATCTACTGTAGATTCTGGTGCGCAGGAGTTGCAGCGGTTTCGGGAGGTTGTTGCGGGCTCATAGGTAGGCGTGCTCCATCGTCGGCCACATTATCGCCTACCACCAGGCGGCTTGGTGGTCAAACATCAACCTATCAAATATAAAAAAAATGTAGGTGTATTTAAAAATGCGTTAAATGTTGAAGATACACAAGTTCACAGATAATGATGGAAACCTCTATTACAATACACTCCATAATAGCCGTTATTTTCACGTAAGCATTGATTTTTTTTGTAATAATATGAGTATTCAACCACAACTTAATGTGCTCAAAATATAAAAAATGCCATTTACAAATAACAAAAACTAAGAGTATCTTATGACGGCATGCGACATAGTAAGTAATTAATGTTATTGTTTAACACAACGGGTGCACGTTATGTTAATTTATGTTCGTCAGCACTTTAAAATAGGCTTTTGTAAGAACAATTTTTTATTTAATTTGACAACAACTACAACTTCAATTAACAGCGGATGACAATTAATCTACTGGTGTAATTAATTTTGTTAGTTAGTTTGACGAGGAACTCAACTAGTTTTAAACCATAATTATTATAGGCTCATATTCATGAGCAGTAGCAGCAGGACAGTCGCCGCGCCACGTATCACGGAATGGCTTCCTCCTTATTCCTACACGTCGAGGTGGTGCGGTGAACCTAATGTATTGTACGTACTCTGCTGTCATCAAATCAAATGTTTGACAATTTTAAGTAAAATTATTATCTTTTGTCTTTTGCGATCTTCAGTATAGTGTAAAATGGTCATAAACGTGCGTCATGCAAAAAATATTGCAACACAATACAATTATTGAAATAACACCGTTTTGTTGCCTAGGAATAGATTAAGTTTTTTAGTACAATTGTTTTTTTTAAGTATTATATTTAGATTATAAATCAGTCATACAATACGTTTTACGAAGTTTTATAAGCTGCATAAAAAAAGGAAGTCATAAAGACGAAATATGACTTAAATTACAATTTCCATTACAATTTAAAATAATTATACATAGACAGTAATACAATAATTATTTATAGGTACTTTCTTTGAAGCATAAATACTAACCAAATCGTTTTTATTCTTAAAAACAGTGTCATAGGTATATTTAGCAAGCGTTATACTATATATTTTGAAGTCGATTGAATAGACAAAAATATATTTTAGGTAATAGACTACTTTGTTCCTGGTATAGTGGGCGAATTTGATGGCAGAGTTGGTATTAGCAACGATTAGGTAACTGGCGACTTACATTGAAGGTAAACCAGCTGAGAACTTAGATACAGTAATTAGTAATTAGATGATAGACAGCCGACCGTTTGCTACTGACAGACAAGGTCACATTTGGTCTAGTTATTAGATAGTACCTTTACAAACTCTCGCCATTTGCATTACTTTCAAGTTCAAGGTTACCTGTTAGATTTTATGGTTATGCAGAAATAAAATATTATTGGGCGATGATATTACTTCCTATAAGCGGAGGCGTGCATAGATTACCTAGATTGATTGTTATTCCAAATTCAATAAATGTATACCTCTTAAGTATTCGAAAATCTGAATGCATTTTTTCTAGCAGATGATAGATACCTTTTATAGGTTTTTTTTTAACAATAAATTCTCAAACAATACTAGGATTATTTCTTGTGTTGTTGACGTGCATTTACAAACACACAAGTTAGAAATCACATCTAGACTCGGCACAATAACCAAAGGACATACAATCTTACAATAATCTTGTCGAAAGCTTTTGCTAATACATTGACTTTTCTATTTTATTCATTTAGCTGATCATCAAATTTACCATCTTTGTCTCCAGGCCTTTATCCACGTATCAACAGCATACAGCAACGCAGAGCTGACAGTGGTGGAGGAGCGCGTGTACCCTGCACCAGTACCGCTGGCTCAGGCTTGCACCCTCGCCGAGACACTGCCGGTAGACCTACTCGGACAGATCAATACACAGTCAGTATTCTTGTTAAAAAGTAATTTGCTTATTCTCTTACATTTTCATCAAATTCATCAGCTCATTCCTAATCACTATAGTCTAGTCCTTGCAAATAATCTTCAGTTCCTTGTGTCCAATACCCAGGCAGTTTGCCAGTCTTTGGGGGCTTAGGGACTGAACACCGCGATTGTGTTGTGTTGTTCCTAAAACCCATTAGACCTCATGGGTCAATGTCGAGAGTACATTGTGTCTAACCTTTAAATATTTGTTGCCAGGTACATTTCCCCGAAGCCCAACACGTACACGTTCACGAAGGCGCTGGCAGAGAACGTGGTGCAGGAACACGGGAACAGGGGGTACCCAGTCGCCATATTCAGACCTACTATTGGTAAGTAATTTGTAAATATGTAACTAGTTAGTGAGAATATAATCGCTAACATCGGTGAACGAGTGGGTCGTTCACCGATGTTAGCGAAGAATCTTGGGTTCGATTCTTGGGTCGAACAAAATATTTCTTAAATAAGATTTTCAACAACTATTGAAAAATGGGTGTTAATATGATCAGTACCTATGCAGCATGTATGCCTTTGGTGGATAAAGGGCATGTATGTTATTTTATATTCTCCTATGCGGAGTTTTATTGACCTAAATACTATAATATCTGCAATAACACCCTTACTCACAAAATACAGCCACACATTTAAAAAGGACCATTTATTTTGTTCTACAACTGAACTTTAACTTTCCCAGTGATATCATCTCTCCGACATCCGTTTCCTGGTTGGATTGAGAACCTGAACGGTCCAAGCGGTGTAGTAGTGGCAGCCGGCAAGGGTCTACTCCACGTATTCTGCTGCAAGATGGCCGCCCGCGCTGACATGTTGCCAGTCGACATGGCTATAGACACGCTGCTTGCTGTCGCTTGGGAGACTGCTGTAGACCGGTTAGTAGAGATATTGATTTCATTTTTGAGATATGGGTGAATGGTTTTGTTATGGAAGACAGAGATTAGAATATGTGAGTAGTGAAAGCAGCAATTTTTTTAGATCCTTATTCATCTATCTCTTAGCTCATTTCGTCCACTTTTGGGCTTCCTTGGAGGAAGGATAGTCCTTCCTAATAGCACCCTATCGAGCTGAATTTTAGCTGATGGTGTACAATCACTGATACCTATACGGCATCGATCCTTATTACTTGAGTTTAAATTAAATCTATCAAATACCGTTAACAAATATGAAATAATTTGTAGGTAACATAAATATATTATCATAAATATTTCTCCTCTCGCAGGGCTGCAGGAAGAAATCCCATAAGGTATATGCAGTACCTATGTACCTCTGTTTTGTTATATATATATTTTTTTTCTTCTGTGTATTGTCTATGTGGTGTACATGAATAAATAAATAAATAAATAAATGCGTTAAGATTTAAAAGGACTTCCTCTCTATCAACCCCATTTAATTTGTGACGAGGTAGTATAAAAATATAGGTAAGTAGTTACACGAAATTTAGTCAAAGACATTAGTTAGTTAACAATAGAAATGAATGACTAACAGCAATTAAAATAAAAGTTAATAGCCAGAAAGACATTTCATTTGGGCAGGAAACTACAATCACACCATTTTCGGCAACCACAACTCTGTAGGTACACCTTACACTATGCTTTGTTTTATTGCGAACAGTTTATGAAGAGGTGAAGGCTACAATAACAATAATAATTAAAAACACCGGAACATTAAATACTCTAATAAAATATTAATAACAATATGGAGCGAGCGTCGCTCTGCGCCTGCGCGAACAATGTCACTTCTTGTCTGCGTTTGTAGTTCCGTGACATCTTTCCGCGAGTGAATCATGGCGGGAAAATTTTGTTTTTTTTTAATTAGTATTTTTTTAATGTTTTTTCGGTCTAGTCGTGGACCAATAAAACTATTTGACTACTTATTACTAGTCTAGTAAATCGTAACTTTTAGGTAATCTGAACCATAGTAGGGACTAACTGATTGCTATTTCTTACGGCCGATGCTTCAATTCAACTCTTTTACTGTAGAATAAAATTGACATAGATCTACATATATGACAGTTTTTAGAATGTAAGAATTGTCAAATATTCAAAGGTATTCCTCTGATAAAATTAATCTGGCGTTGGAGAAATCTGCCCTTAGTAAGACCATATTTATTATTACCAAATAAGACGTCGATGCCGAAACAGTATCTCGATTGCAAAATACGTCACAGACAATTATTTTTAAAGAAAGTAAAATAATCATCTGATGTTAAATTGGTAGTCGTCAGGTCATCCCGGACACCACATAAGTCCACCGGTAGCACCAGATAACTCACAAATACGTTGCGGACATTTTAAAAATGAGCTTGCTTTTCTCTTGAAACTTTGAAGGCCGTATCGGTTCTGAATGCTAAGAAGCTGACTAATAATATAAATCAAATTCAATAGCTGCTTATTGCCTAACCAGGCTAGACTGGCATTTGGCACAGATTTCTTTCCGAATTCAGCTGAAATAGGAAGTACATATCTATTTATAAGGTACTAGCTCTTACCCGCGGCTTCGCTCGCGTCACAAAAGAATAAATTAGCTCTTACCCGCGGCTTCGCTCGCGTCACAAAAGAATAAATAGTAGCCTATGTGACATATACCAATACACAGCGCCATCTATACCAATACTTTTGTTTTTCCTCGGGAATATACATTTTTCCGGGTTAAAAAAACCCTATTATTTAATCCGGACTTCTAGCTTAACGTCTGCAAAAATTCAAAGCAATCGGTTGAGTAGTTACGGCGTGAAGGTGGAACAAACAAACAAACAAACAAACAAATAAACTCACTTTCAGATTTATAATATTAGTAAGGATATTGAAATAGTGCAGCTTGATACAGCATCTACTTCGGTGCAAATACGAAAAGGCGGGCATAATGTAAATGTAATGTCACTTAAAAATGATTGAAGCATTTATTTAAGTGTACTTAGACTGAGTTGGCCACCCTGTTCTTTTATTTTGCTGTTTTATGTTGTTTTTTTTTGCGTTTTTTTTGCCTTCATTGTTGTTTTTTTTTTACTGATGTTTTTTTTTATGCTATATCATGTTCTTATTGCTTTTTTATTTTGTTTTTCAATGTTATTTTGTGTGTTATTCGGTGGCCCATGTCTGGTGGCGAATAAATTAGTTTTCTTTCTTTCTTTCTTTCTTTCTTACTGTTAAGTATAACTTGGCGACGTCCGTCGATACTGCCATGATATGAAATACAGAGATACAACATTTCCAGATACTAACTCATTAATTAAGTTAACCAACCGTCGCCAGGTCCTACAGGGCTGCCAGATTTTGGCAGTCCTAAGAGCAATACGTTTTCTAAACCTCTCGTTCCACACTCTGACTGTGGGTTCATTGGAGCCAATCACAGCGCCGAACGCGTAGGTACTCGTTTTGATTACTTTAAACGTAAAATAAAGACCGCGCACGCTGCTAATGAGGAAAAGTCCCTCTGTAACGCGAAACTAGTAGAGCTTTTCTCGTCATTTTCAGTTGATGTGTATTGTTATAAATGTCCAGGCCAGAATCAGTGCGCGTGTACAACTGCAGCACGTGCGAGAACCCGACGACATGGCGGGAGTTCGAGACGGCACTGCGCCACCATCTGCGAGGGCACCCGCTCGACAACGCATTCTGGTACCCCAGCGGGATCACCGTGGAGAACAAGTCAGTACAAATTCATCAGAAATTTTGTGATACGGCGGCAATTAACGAGCAACCGATCACGTGATGGTAGGCAATCAGCGCCGCACACGGATATCTTAATTTTAAGTTACCTACAAGTCCGGTTGGCTGACGTGTTCCTTTTAGGAAAACAGCACTAGTTATATTTATTTAGAAAAGATAAAAAAAGTCCTTGCTGGATTTGGGGCTTAGGGAAGGGGAGTCCGGTTAGGCCGTTCTACATAGGTACCGTCTATAACACTATATTATACGAATAGCTACTTGTGTGCGGTCTCATCCGCTCTGCTCGGCACCTATTGATCGTGGCGTGACGTTTTACAGTCTTTCTCGATAAATGGACTATAACACATAAATCTTTTTTTAATCGGACCTTTCGTTCCTGAGATTAGCACCCTCAAACAAACAACAAACTCTTAAGCAGTATAAGAAGTATACAATTAAGATATTATGGTTAACGCATTCATTGAACTATGCTGTTACTACAGTGTCCTTTTAGTAACTTCATAAATTACTGGTTCATGCGTTTCATCACTAAGAAAGTCATCACATTTTTATACTTACAACAACGTACTAAAATAAATATTTTTGTTACAGGCTTACACAGAAAACGTTGGAGACAATATTGCAAACAGCCCCGCTCCATATCGCTGAATACATCTCAAAGATTCTAGGAATAAAAACTAGGTGAGTACTGCATTTATTAGCAATTCTGCGTTGAAAGAAACGAAAACGCTAGATGTTGCAACAGCATAAATTTTTTACCAAAATGGTAGTTTTTACGGGAACTTCACAGCTTGGCAAAAAAGTTGTATCGCATAATGTTCAATAAACATGTCCTTCTGGAAACAATTGTCCCCAATGGGTCGCCTCTCGAAGTTTTTCAGGAATACACATCCACTTAGGACAAGCCTTGCAGCTTGGTACAACTTGATTACCAGTTATGACACACGAGTCGAGACGTGGACATTGACAGCGCGATTGGTTCACCAATTTAGAGAAAGATGATATGCTCAGAGTCCCCCTGAAAGACTGAATCCGAAACCAAGTGATCCGGTAGAGAACCAAAGTTATCAACATAGCCCAAGACATTAATAAGCTGAAGTGGCAGTGGGCCGTTCACATTTATCAAAGAACCGATAACCATTGGGGTAAACATGTTCTAGAGTGGAGACCGCGCTTAGGCTAATGTAGTGTAGGGCGCCCTCCAGCTTCCTGGAGGGACGATATCAGTGTATCTGCAAGGTCGCTGGTTGAGAGGGCCTGAAGACCGTGGTCAATGGCGTGCCATTGGGGAGGCCTACGTCCAGCAGTGGATAAACATAGGATGATGATGATCGCACCTGTGACAACCTGGTACACTACGTTTCAACCGGTTTTGATATTTGTTATTTTTACCGAAATTCAAAAGAGGAGATACTAAGTTCCCGAAGTGGGTGATACAGCCCAAATTAATATTAGCTCCAGACGTCAAATTCTTTTTTGTCAAGCTGTGAATAGTTAAATTATTATGTTTTCGGCTTTCTCACGTAATAATTTGACGAGGAACTCGACTAGTTTCAAGCCATGCTAGAGGCTCATATTCATGAGGAGCATTTCGCGACCCGCTACGCGGCGACTGTCGCGCTGCTACTGGCTACTCGTGTCTGCGGGCCCAGCGCGCCCTCTGCCGTGTTTCACGCGCACTTTCTTCCATACGTGGTATCGCTAGACTCGCCCGCCGGCACCTGCGTTGGTGTTGTTGGGTTCGAATCCCGGGTCGACGCAAAAACAGTGTTACATACCGTGCTCACTGTGTCACACTCCAGACCCGCAACACTGTAGTCCGACGCAGATTAGTGTAGTACCTAGTGAATAGTTATTTAACATATTTATTATAATTTTTAGAATTAACATAAATAATATACTTTCAGGTTGAGCCTCATAACAGTGAGTCAACGTCTCATTGCCATGAATGAGGTGTTAAGATTCTTCTCAGTACGTGAGTGGCACTTTGTGACTGACAACGTGCGTAAACTACACGCCAGACTAACGCCGCAAGATGCTGCCATCTACAACCTGGATCCGCAAACTATTAAGTAAGTATAATTAATTCAGAATATTAAGCAAAATAAATACGTTGTTCAAAAACAAATATATTTATAAATAATGGTAAAGAGTGTTAAAGATACTAAAATAAGACTAAAATATAATTTACTGTTACAGCTGGGATGAACATTACTGCAATTTATAAAAGGAGCAAGAAAATATTTGTTACAAGAGAAAGACCAAGACATTAACGAGGCAAAGAAACATTTGCGCAGGTAAGCCATGCGACATAATGATACGTCAATAGCCGGTGACCATCCAATGCAACTATAGGCCTCCTCTAAATAAGATGGGTTTTTCCATTATTTTAGTTTTCAGGTTTTTCAGAAAGCTGACAGAGCACTATGTCCTGCTTCTGTTAAATATGTAATCCCTTCGTTGACTCCTACGAAATTTTAGTGTAAACATGCTGAATGAACACTTTAATGTAAACATTGCATCTATTATATTAATGCAAAATCAAATAAAATCAATTGAAAAATTTTGCCACTACACAGTATATTATATTCAATTTCTCAAGATTCGATTTCATCGTGCGCTAAATATCAATGTGGAAATAACTAAATATTCATTAAAATATTCCAGGATGTATTACTTGCACCATGGCGTCATGTTCTTCGTTGTAACACTGCTCTGCCGCCTAGCACTGCGCAACCAGTACTTGCGCGCTTTCATCTACCGTACCTTCAGAATGCTACTGCTGTCGCCGGCTCAGCTTACATGCGTATACGACAGAGCTGAGAATTGACAATAATTTGTCTTATTTAGAGACTTATAAATCTACATATATGCGTAGTGTAATGAATATTACGTTCATACGTTTTGTAGTAATGTATTACAATAAGAATGGAATGATAAAGTGTAAATTATTAAGATTTGATACTAGTGAATTGTAAATGTGATGAAATTGTAGATTAGACACGTAATTTTTAAGCATCAGTGAATTTATAGTAGTTTCTAGGTAACAAGTTTTGCTCAATCGATGATATTAATATTTAGTGTTGTGTAGCGAATGGATGCAGTATATTTTTGTAATTAATTGTATTAAAGTTAGTATGACGTGTTATGATGTAGATTATAGAGCATATATACATTTTATAGGCCGTAGTTTTACCAGAACGATTGATACAGCTAACGTTTTTATATTCAAGACACGCATAAATCCGAACAATAATGGTGCTATTAAATTTAAGTAATTTAATAAAACATTCTAATTCTGCTTCAATGTTTGTTATAATTAATGATTAATTATGAATATAAAAATGTTTAGTAAGTACATATTTTTGAAATCTTCGATATCTTAGGTTACATATTTACGGGTAACGGTGTCATAATGAAGTCAAATATAATATATTTTATTTAAATAATATGTAATTTATAATTCATATTTTTAAGTAATTTTTAACAAAATAATTGTATTTTACAATAAAATATTACCTTTTTTGTACGATGTTGTTGTTATTTAACTTCTCTGTTAAATCCTCTGAATTTGAACTATACCAGCGAAATAATAAGTGAATAAATAAGAACTAAAGTCTGATATAACAAATACCGCCAATCAACCACACGGTGGTCACCCCAACGTCAAGATTTCTCTAGTCAGTCATTATAGTCGTCACACAAAGAATTCTTTACAGAAATTCACATGTCTAAGGGTGAATTATAGCTAACAGATCCATTCGTTTGTTAGAAAGTCGACCTAATAAATATTGCAAGAAGCTGCTGAATGTAGGTTGCTTCTGTCATATGTTCTTTTTTGTTACTGAACTCTTTTTTGTTGTAGTTACTGTCAGTCGAGCATACGTGAAAAGATTGATGACTATTGATGTAGTGAAAAAATTATAAGGAATCGTAGCAATCAGCGTTCCATAGCCTCTGCCTCACCTCCATGGGAGATAGGCGTGAATTTATGTGTGTATGTCACTGTAGTAACAATATTGGTAGGTTTTTCTTTTTCATTAGATAGCAACACAATTAAATTAGTGTCAACAAAACGTCAAAAAGTTTGTCAAAAAAGTTGCTGTCAATGTCAAAGTCATAATCTTATCAATTGTAAAATTTGTGTGATTTAGTTTCGTGACGATGGAATTCCGACGTGAAAAACAATAAAAATGTTTAATAAAGTGTTGCAACGTGCTCTTAAGTTCCGGCTGAAGAAGTCTTATCCCACGAATATTTATGATTTATCTCGTGGGTCGGCTATAGCGGTGCGTAGACCGTATAGCGACGAAGTGCGTCGTGCGCAGGCCCAGAGCGTCGCTGCGCCGGGGCCGACAATCTTCGACAAGATTATATCGAAGGAGATTAAAGCGGATATTATTTATGAAGATGACTTGTGTTTGGCATTCAATGATATATCTCCGCAAGCTCCCGTGCACTTCCTCGTGATACCGAAACGTAGGATCCCGCGGCTACAGGATGCGGAGCCAAATGATATGGAAGTGAGTATAACCTCTGGCTGTATGAGTAGATTCCTTTGCCCACAAATATGGTTCCATTCCAATTCTATTCTATTTGAGTTACAATGTAAGTGGAGGTCAAGTCATCAGTTTTTATGCTCTGATTTTAGAAGGTTTACTGAAAGTACCTACTTATTAGATTTTACATCTTCCAAAATATTAAATTCTTCAGTTAATAGTAATCTAGCCTCCACTGTTAGGTACTCAAATAAACATTAAGAAACCGTTTGAAGAACTCTTTGCTTTTGTATAATCTTAGCCTCATCTGATGAACAAAATTTTTTTTTATATTATTATTATAAAAAAATCATATTATACTGAACAAACATGAGTTTTAAAATACACTTCTGTTGCATTTTTACATGCAACAATAGAACAATCTATTTTTACCAGTCAATCCCCAATCTGTCACCGGTGGCCTCTTTCCACTAACTCATTATAGATCTTATTTCCGATTCTTAGAGACTACTTTTGTATGAACAAATGTTCAGTATGACATATCAATGTATTAAGTAATGTAGATTGCAGAATCTAAAATCTTCTAAAATTAAAATTTCACACAATGTAGTCATCAGTAGGTACTCGGACAATGTCAACAAAATTTATATTCAAGGCTACCACTAAGTAGACAATTAGAAAAAAAAACATAATCTGACAGGAGGAATGAATTAATCAAGTTATAATATACTGTGAGAACGAACACACAAGTAGTAGTTGTACATTACAATCTGTCAACTGCCCGTGACAATTCAATGCTGGTCTATGGACATTCCTCCACAAAAGAGGGCTTCGCCATAATCTCCACACTTAGCAAACAGGTTGCAGATTGCAGTTTAATGAGATCAGGTTTATCAGCTAATTGTACACCAGTCTGTCCCTTAATCAACAATAGTTTATTTAATCTCCAAACTTGGGAAACAAGTTGGAGATTGCAGTTTAAACTGTCAAACACCAAACGATCACCGGTGACCGCAACCTAATGTTCTTTAATTGTGTCTATAAAACCGGTACTCAACGAGTTAAAAGGGTCAATTTTATCAGAGAAGACATCTGCTCGGTCCGATGTTATTTCTTTAATCCGTTGACCGCGACCTATTGTTCTTTAATTGTGTCTATAAAAACGGTACTCGACGAGTTAACTACCCTGATGATACCCGCTGCAAGAGTAAGGGTGCTTAAAATCTATTGGATTCTGCTACTAAAATTATACTTACAATGACAGTAATACACAATTAGTGAACAGATTAGATGTATATTAAAGACAATGTTTTTATAAAATACTTTTAATGTTTAGATGGACATTATAAACAATTGTTTTGCAAAGTTTTTGTCTACAATCAAAGGGTAATGACTCTAATGACATCATTGCTTTAAAAACAAATACTTTTTTTAAAGAATTCGATGTAAAACAATGTTTGTATAATGATATCATACATTTAGCTGAATCAAAATATTGGCTCATATATAATGGACAGGAAAATTTTATCAAATGAATTACCTATTAAGATTATTTATCAGATTTTATCCTTATGATGCGCTGGCTGCGGCATCTAAATGCCAGACTACGTGCCATGGGTTCAGAATATTTCTTTGTATAATTCGTTAATAGTTGCGGGTGTCCATGGTCGGTCAATTGCTTGGCACCAGGTGATATGCTCACGCACTGCTCGGCTTTTGGTCGTAGCATGATGTTTTATATAACTATTGAATATAAATGAAACTTCCAACACAAAAAGAGTTATTCAATTCAAACCAACATTTAAACACAACAAGCTTTCAGCTTTACAATATTAGTGTAGACTTTTGTAGTTAAATGATACCTTACTTCTTACTAATATCATAAAAATGTGCATGTGTGTGTGTATGTGTGTATGTGTGTGTATGTGTGTATATGTGTATGTTTGTTACTCCTTCACGTCCAAACGGCTGATGGGATCGGGATACAATTTGAAACATGGCTAGATTATGGTCTAAATAAACACATACGCTAACTACTTTTTATCCTATGAACCGCGGGCGAAGCGGCTGGCAGACGCTAGTGTTTAATATTATTATGAAATTGGAAATTATATTTCTGCAAGTAAATTACGTATGTCGTCGTTACGTCGGCTGTGTGTCACGTCTTGCGGAATTCCTCAGTTATCAGCAGCGGTAGGTACGTACCTACCTACCGGGCAGTGCGCCGCTATCAGTGCGCGCCACACTCGTTACTCACGCACTCACTACAATTACGCTGAATATTTGACACGGCCCCGAGTGAGGGAGAAAGTAAGAATTAAAGAAATTGAATGTATTTAACAGAGCACAATGGTATACAACAATAAACCTACAAACAAAAATACTTGCGTTTAAAAAACCGACTTCATAATTATAATCAAATAATGAAAACAAAAAAAATTAAAACGCAAATAATGACTTTTAGTTAGTACTGATAGGTTACCCACCAACTGATAGGTTAGAAGTCGGTAGGCGGTCAGCATAGTTTATATAAAACTACCTACAGATTGACTGAATTTGTTCCGTGTGGGAATTAAACCTGTGATACCCGTGGCAACTGCTCCTGCCCTGTGTGACGCGAGAAAGTGTCAGACTCCTACCGACTAAACACTACCCAGTAACTACTCCTGCGGTATCCCGGTTAGGTTGGCTTCAACTTTGGATACCGTGAAGTTAATTGTTGCATTTTTAAGTACTTAATTTAACACGGTGTCTGTAATCGCGTCAGATATAATTATGACAATATACTTACCCCCTGTTATATGGGACTCATCCCTTTGAGCATTAAAAAGGTGTTACATTTATGTAGCATTAATAACATTGTAACAAAACTCCAGTACATACATACATGCAGACGCTATCATTATCAGTTATCAGCGAATTCCAGCGAGGTGTGTACACACCTGATAACGCAGCTCGTTACTGTATAATTATGTCTCAATAACATTGGGTTTCAACTCTATCATTTGGCAATAAAGGTGGCATTGTATAGAATTCAGATTGTATACAACTTGGAGTACCTATATTGTCCATGTGGAGACGGTAGAGTCTTTGACAGCAATTGGGTACTAGCCAACTAGTCAAATTCGTCGCGAAGAACCTAACTGGTAACCGGAGGCTTCGGCTCGACGTGCAGCAGTAGGAACGGGGTGGTGTTTAGTCAATAAGAGTCCCGCCTCACCCAGGCGGGAGCAGTCATTCAATGATTTTCCCCCCTTAAAAAAAACTAGTCAAATTCATTACTTTTTTCGAACTGACAGTTTTTATGAATTTAATACGAGATTGTGTATTGTGACGTCACATGTTTTTAGCGTCGAAGAACATACTTACTTATTTGATTATTTGTTAAAAATTCGCTGGAATAATACTAAAATTAATGATGATTCTTAAATTGAATCCGTTGTTTTTTCATTAAGTCGATCATAAATTCAATTAATGAAAGTGTGATTATTTTTTTAATTTATATTGAATTGAACAGTCGATTTAGGCAATAGGTTATTTTTGATTAGGGCAAGTACCAAATTCCATACAACTTATGACAAGAATTGATCTTAGTCTTAAAATTATGGATTGAGGTCGGTTACTGATCGGCTGTAGGTAAGGGATTACACATTACCCAAGAGACCAGACAGCTGCATTCACTCTCCAAACCGCGTGCCAAGCACTGAGGTACATACATGGCAGACCCTTATAAGTTGAAGAGGTCCATAGACCATGTGTCTGCACGGTCGGCGCGGTGGCAGGGCAACCGGCTGCCGCGCAACGTGTCGCGGGTTCTATTCCCGCACGGAACAACACTTTGTGTGATCCACAAATTGTTGTGTCGGGTCTAAGTGTCATGTGTATGTGAACTTGTATGTTTGTAAATGCACCCACGACACAGGAGGAAATCCTAGTGCGGGGCAATAGTTTAAAAAAAAAAGAAAAGGTGTACCAGTGGACTGTCACCCACTGTTGATTCTCTTATAAGTTAGTCCACAAGTATTAAACTGATACGAGCTTTAAAATAATAAAAAATAGCGTAATTTCCTTTTTTTAAATGGCCGGCCTTTTAACGCAGTGTCTCCTCTAGTGTTGCGGGGGATGGAGCGACCATGGAAGGCGTCGCATAATGCTCACCTCCAGATGACCCGTCTTTACTCCATAAAAACCGTTCTTTAGATAGTCTATCTATTGAAAAAACCGCATCAAAATACGTTGCATAGTTTCGAATATCTAAAGTATACATGGGGACAGACAGCGGGAAGCGATATATCTTTATATATATAATTCTTCTGTGAGTGTGTATGTCACTGAACTTCTCTCAAACGACTTGTCCGATTTTGATGAATTATTTTGTGTGTGTTCAAGGGGATCTGGGAATGGTTTAGATTCACAAATCAGCCCGGCAGATGGCGCTTCAGTCGATGTTTAGGTTATTTATTCTAAACAGCTGAACTAATTTAAATGAATTTTTGTTTATACATTGTCTATGCAGTGGATATGCAGGACAACGTCTGTGGGGTCCACTAGTTGTTTTAGATAATGTAGTGATTAACGATCAATTTCTCATTTCCAGCTCCTCGGCCACCTAATGCTGGTGGCTCGTTCGCTGGGCTCGGCGCGGGCTCCGTCGGGGTGGCGGCTCATTGTCAACAACGGACGGGACGGCGCGCAGTCTGTCTATCATCTACACCTACATGTACTTGGGGGCCGCCAGATGGGCTGGCCGCCAGGGTAGGGAGCCTGGGGGTTCGCCAGGGTAGAGAGGTTTGTGTAGTGGTTTTGGTTGGTAATGCAATGTTGTTTTTAGTAAGTATGTGTCATTATGAATTCGCCATTTTCGAAAGAGTTTCTGAAAATCCGACAATTGTTACATCGTTGTTTGTAATTAGATAAAAAATCTGAAGAATTTGGAAAGATATATCAATTTACTAAATTAAATCATTTTTGACTTATCAAATTAATAAATTTTTAAATATTTAAATTATTCTTCAATAAGGAATTTTATTTGCCATAAACATGTGTGTACATTTAAAATATTAATTTAAAAATGAATTATTTTGTCAAATGGAATATTAAAAACAATGTTGTATTTAATAGTCGCGCGTGGTATTCGTTATAATATACCTTAGTGCCTGTGAGATAGAGTTGAAATTCCAGTGTCAACGTTCGTCTCGATATTATTACTTCTGTTGGGTCATTGGAATTTAAACTTTATAGTCACAAATTTAAGGTATAATTTTTAGCAATTTGAAAAAAGTTCAATTCGTAATGATAAAGCAATAATAATAAAATGTATTCGGTGATTTTTCATTTATAAATAACCTTATGCATATGGATATAAGGTAGCTTTTCAAATGTATTGAATTAATTCTAGTAATTACTCTTTGTTCTGAGCAAAAAGATAATTTACTTTATAATTTATATTCTATATCAAAGAGGGTTTTACTTTCTGCAGTCACTAGGTGGCGCTCCTATCTTATTAGAGGCACTATTATCTATCAAAACCCTTTGCTCTGATTGGCTCTGATTGAATATCTTAACCAATCACAGTTCACATAATAAGGTAGCAGATACTGTTTGTGACCTATCTAGACTAAGACTTACTTAGTCCAGTTTTAGGTAGAGTTCTGTCTACCCTTTCAGATATTTATAAATGTCGCGAAGATATTATTTTAGTGCCTTATTCATCCAGGCTGTATATTAGTATGATGGTCGCGGGTTTCGATTCCCAAGCCGGGCAAATTATGTTTTTTTCTATAGTTAATTGCAGTCTGGAATTATGCCTGGTGTAGGCAAAATGTGTACATTTCTGCTTATCCTAATAAGGAATGAAAAGCGTTATGTTTATGCCTTAAACAGGCAATAAATTTGGACGTCTAAGTCCATTAAACGTAAATATAACATAAGTTTAAGTTATGTATATTGCCACCCATCATTTTCCAATCCTCGTGGTGTGTTGCTTAACCTAAGATTGTCGCTAAATCGTGTCATAATGAAGCCATTGTTATCGTTATATGTTGTTAGTGCAATATTCACTTGCCAAATTAGTTTGTAAGTATTGTAATTTATGTCTGCGCGCACACGACGCTAGATGGCGGTAATGTAAATTTTGATCCAATTTGTAAATATTATGAAGTATGTTTTGTTTGATCCAATTGTTTTAATGATATTCCGGTAAAGAAGTTTTCGGTTTTGAGCTCAGCAGATGGCGCGGGTGTATCGTGAGGTCTGTTTGTTCAATCAAGGTAGCTGTCAATAATGAAATGTCCAAAGGTTTGACACTAGCTTATTATGTTTTGGATAAATAGGACCACACGAGGCTCTAGCGCCACCTGGTGAGTAATAAACTCTAAAAACATTGTTAAAATATTTTGTCTGATCAGTCAGATCAGAGGCATAGTATAATGTATCCCAATGGTATAAGTATAATAATCTGCATAAAATTCACTAAAAAAATGAAATTGTCAATGAATTATTTTAATTGTTGTTGCTTGAAATCAGATATTCAATATTTAGGCACATCAAATCACCTGTGTTTGTTTGACCATTTTCAACTTTAACGCTTTGTAGTATAGTTGACAATGCATTACAGAAACGGGTAATTTGATGTGCTGTCATCAGGTCGTGTGTCGCAGCGCACAGTCTCAAAGAAGCGACGCCACAGTTTGATACCTTCTGCCTGAGCCGACAGGGGGCGGTACTGTGCTCAGTAAAACAACGCGATTTTGAGCTGGCAATACCGAGTTAGTCATTTTTCTTGTTAAAATTTGTCCCAAAGTTAGTATATTCTAGTAGCTTATCGATTTAGACTGATACATGTAGCTGTATTAATAGTATTTTCCAGTTCCGTCTACTTAGTAACGTATAAATTTAGGTTTAAATTATTATTTTCACTTAGAGCAGTTTTCCCTAAAAACGGAGGCAATATCGCTCCCCTGTCAGTTGGAAATTACGCTCAGATCAATATTCGCATAAAAGTATAAAGATAGTTATTCATACACTTCTTTCTTCTCTATAAAACCAATCCTTATTATTCTTATAGTCATAGTTGTCACACATGACAGCTGTCAGATTTGACGTCTGTCATTCCTGACAGCTGTCGCTAATGTCAATGTAGTAGTTTAATTGAATTTGTTGAATTAGTAAATAAATAAATACCTCAATAATAATAATTTAATGATCTGAGTAATTCACGAATCTCGTCTTGAGTTGTATTTTGTTAGTTGCAGTGAACATTTGGTTGTTTCTAGTCAGAACGGTGGTTTCCAACCGCCGCGTGTCTCAAACTGTGGTAGTACGGGCGGGGGTTTAACATCGCAACCATTTTAGCTATTTTTTATAAAGAAAGCTATTGTTATCAGAGTATTTTTTGCAGGGATAATGTTAAACTATTCAATTTGAAGTGATTGTTTATACTCTTCGTAGATGGCGCCATTGTCGAAAAAGGTCAATCTAAATAGCTACTAACAAATGTATACTAGTGGGATGAACCTTATTCTGCAATGGCGTCATTACAAACGATTATGGACAATATCCCTGCTTGTCTAAGAGCTAGAATGGTGTGATGTGTCCTCGCCAGTCGACGTAGTCAGTCGCTCGGTACATATCTTAGATTTAGTTGTTTTATTTTTGTTTCATTTTTACTTTAATGACTCCCCCGACTATATTCTTCGTCTCTGTCTCGTGTTATTATATAATTTTGTGTGTTAGACAGAGATGGCCATATAATTTTTGTTTACTGTATTGTGACGTCACAATCCAGTTCAGTTTGAGTACAAATGTAGTGTAAGTAGTCGGTTGTAAGCCCTGTGTCATAGTCAACACCAAATATTGTAATGTAAGCGGTGTGACGTCACGATATATTATGTATCAATGTATGATCTACAAACTTGGGCTGATGACAGGGTAGGGAAATTAAATATCTATTTGATCCATCGGCCAAGAGTGGAGATTATAGTCAATCTCTTTTTTGGAGAAGTTCGTAGTCAAGCGATGGACTTACGGGCTGTAGCGGTTGTCGATTGTGATTTAGCCGGTAAAAAAAGAAAAATTAGCTGTCGTATATTTTATTTTATACTGTGTAATGGATTAAATATATGTTTAATTTTCATACCCTATCATCATTCCCACTAATAGAAAATTCTTCATTGTATACTTTTATCTACACATAGTACACATCAAGCTATGCAAAACCAGTCAATTTTTAAGTAGAATATTTTGGTTTATGAATAAATAAGCAAATAAAACCAGTATAAACTAATCTTCGAATGTGCAGAAAAATCATACATAGGTAGATCACGACACACATTCAAGTGTGGCCGTGTCTATGTGGTAGTCTTGTATAGTCGGGGGTACATATATTACGTATTTTTCTTTATTATTTCGTTGTATGTTGGTTGTGGGTGCGCGCGGCGTCAGTTCCGCCATTTTGTTTATCAAAAAGCGCGCGAACACGCGCCGCCCGCTCAGTACTGTTTAGAATTTAATTCAATGTTTAAATTCTGTAACCAAAGTTTATTAAATGATTTTATAATGATTATGCTGTGTGTTTTACTCAATTATTACTGTTATACCATTATTGTGAAATATTTCATGATAAATAATGAAATGTCCTCGATACGTACACAATCAGTTTTAAAAACAATTACCGCCGCAATCATTTACTGGTTACTTACCCCAGTCCTTAGCAATTGTTTTCGGAACTACATCGTTACTGAGGAATAGTTTAAGTGATCATTCAATGTCTCTGAGTACGACTGTTAGACCCAAAACAACTTTCTCGTCACAAAAATAAAAGTAATCAAAATACAATTTATTAATGGAAATTCAATTTATTGAAACTTTAGAAACAATTTGCAACATGTTTAGTAACACAAACACGAAGTTGGGGCGCATCCGCAAGCGGGGGCCGCGTACATAGGGGGTGGAGGGGGAGGGCAGCGTATGTCACCGCGGGTGCAGCGCAGGGAGCAGGGGCGGGGAGAGCATAAGTGAGGGGGGCAGGGGGAGCATAAGCGAGAGGGGCAGGGAGAGCTAAAGGAGCTGGGGCACAACCACAACCTGGGGGCAACGCAGCCTCTAGTAGAGGTCCAGCGGCAGATAACACAGAGGTCAGCACTGTAGGTAAAGCAGCGTCAAGCAGAGGAGGTAGCGACGCGGCGATTGATGCTGAGATTGTGTTAGCTAACGCAGGTGCCAGGGTAGGGAGTGCGGGGGCTAGGGCGGCGAGTATTGGGGGCACGGCGCAGGGGTTGGCGGGGGCTACTGCGGGGGCCGGGAGGACTAGGGGCGCGGGGGCCGCGGGGGCTGGTAGGAGAAGTGGGGCTGGTGCTGCTGCTGCGCATGGGTAGGCGTACTGAGAGTACGCGACCTGGAATACAAATATTAACATTTAGCATAAATTAATAGATATTTGGTTACAGCTACATTTCATGGGAAGTACTAAGTTGGCCTCCTCTATATAAGACGGGTTTGCCACAATCTCCGCAGGCAGGCGGTTGGAGATCACAGGTCAAGTTTATCAGAGAACATGTTGCCCGGTCTCAGGCACCTTAGGCTCTTTAGTCGGGTATATGACACCCGCGAGAAGAGTAGCAGTGGTGACATAATTATATATCTACTTTGCCATCACCATACGACAGTTTTGATGTATAAACTATACAGCAAGTCATAAAATATTAAGGATGACAAATGAAATAAGTAAAGTAATTTGACTCACCCGCGCCAGACCGGCCAAGCAGAACAGTGCGACCAAGGAGTTCATTGTATGATGTCGTGCAAGCAACTTGTCTGTCGTTGTGTTGCTCGCCACTATATACGCGCCACTATCGCAGTGTCGCCACAGTGACACAACTCCGTAACACACTATCATGTATTTTGTGAAACTATTCGTGTTGTTGACGAGTCTATGAATCGAGGATAATCACGTGGGGGAGTCGTGTTTCGACACGAATGGGCGACGACTCGACTGGAGTAATACCACGGATTCATAGGAACACCGGCTTCAAACAACCAAAGGAAACAGCTTATGAGCAGACGTGCTCCATCGTAGACCCCATCATCGCTTACCACCAGGCGAGATAGTGGCAAACATCAGTCTATCAAATATAAAACAAAAGCGTCGTGTGCAGCCGTGTGAATGAGGGCAGTGGAGTCCTAATTCCTCCCCTAACTGGAGGCATATTCCAATCCTTAGTCCCAAAAAGGCCGGCATCGCGCTCCTCTAGTGCTACGCCAGTTAAGGCACATCTCCAAGCAACTACCACTAGTAACTCCTCTAGTGTTGCGGGTGTCCATGGGGGGCGCTGATTGCTTACCATCAGGTGACCCGTCTGCTCGTTTGCTGACCTTATTATAAGTTTTTTTTTATATATATATTTGATGGGCCGACGTCTGACCACTATCTCGCCTGGTGGTGCCCGATGATGCTGTCTACGATGGAGCACGTCGTCCCATAAGCAACCTATTCACTCGGGCCTTGAAGACTCCCAGGTTATACATACTCTGGCAAAGAATTCCACTCTTTAGCAGTACGCACAAGGAAGCTTGAAGCGAAGTGCTTCTTGCGTGTGGGCGGAACATCTACCATGAGTCGGTGACGCCTCGCCGATTGTCTTGTGGTACGATGATGGAAAGGACTAGCGGGAATCAAGTTGTGCAATTCCCCCGCACACTCACCGATTGAGTTGGGTTGATGATAACTTCCATGCAACACTATTTTAATACTTTGCACTACCCGGGAATTGAACCCGCTCGAACATTGTTTAGCAATCCATCTTGCTAAAACGAAGAAATCTTTGAACTAACCTCATCTACAGAAATAAAATTCGAAATGTTTTCGACCCCTTTCAAACCAGGATTCGAACCTCTACCCGTCGTAGTACCATTACCTTACTCTAACATACACCTGTCAGTCGCGGAGAACATAACGGGTAACCGGGGCTCCGGCTCGACGTGCAGGAGAAGTAACGGGGTGGTGTTTAGTCAGTAAGAGTCTGACACTAAGGCGGAAGCAGTCATTCGATGATTCCCCCCCCCCCCTTAAAAAAAGAACATACACCTGTCAATCCCCCCAGCGACACATATGAACATGTTACACCATAGTGTCACGTCTGTTTTACACTGTCTGACAGTTCTGACTAGTTTCTGCCCGCGACTTCGTCCGCGTGGAATAAGTTCGGGCAGATGAAAAACAAAATGTAATATAGCACACTATGTTGTTCAGTAAAGATGCAGCATATTGGTGGAAGAATTTTCGAAATCGGTTCAGTAGTTCTTGTGTAAAAATGTGACAAACATACATACATATGTTTTCTCTTCATAATACTAGATTACGCCGGCGGTTTCGCCCGAGGCGAAGGATCCCGCGGGATAAAGACTATATGCGTCATATCCCTGTTCCAAATTTCATCCCGATTCCTACAGCCCTTTTGTCGTGATTGAGTGACAAACAAACACACACACTCGCATTTATAATATTAGTCGAATTAGTTCAACTACATCGTTATCTGAGACTACGTGACATCTCGCTGTATAGTGTTACTGTGTTTCTAGATACTGTTGTAATATTTAATTATTGCGAATCTATTTAACTCTTTCAGTCACACTTTTAACTGGTTATGAATATATTTTATTTAATTATACTGAAGTGCTTAAAAACCAACGCAAAGTAATTTGAAGCAAGAAAAGGTGGTTAGCTGCAGTGACCACCAAGACTGAAAGACATAATTATAATACAAGCGGATACGAACACAAATAAGTCGTAGATATTTGAAACAATTGTTGGCCCCGTACTTCTTACTGTGAAATGGACAATCACAATTATCATCAACTCGTGCAGTGTATTCTTCAGCCACTCTGTAACGACCGCTGTACAAATTACAACCTTATTTCAAGTACCTTAGTAATCATGCTACCTCGTTGGCCAAGTGGTCGCAAGTGCGACTGCTGGGCAAGTGGTCTCGGGTTCGATTCCCGGGGTCGGGCAAAGTATTACTAGATTTATTAAAAAAATCTCAGCAGTAGCACGGAGTCTGGATTTGTGCCCGGTATATAGCAATAGGCTCGGTTCACCATTGATTGGTCGAACGTTTCATCGAATTTTAGTTGCAATAGTCATTTCTTTGACCGAAGTTTTAATTCGTTGGTACCCGCGGTCACAGTTCTCACCTTTTTTTTTAAAGTGGGGGAAATCCTCATGGACTGCCTCCGCCTGGGGAAAGGCGGAGGGGTGTGCCGGACTCTTACCGGCTAAAACCACCCCAGTGTCTCAACCTAACTATAAGTCGGGGTGGCCAAAAAATTTTGCTGGAAAATTTATTTACTAAAAGCAATTTAACTTTTACTGTTTTCTAGTACAACTTATACCATCTGAACATTACATACAATGAACATTATACCTTTTGACCGTTAGCGCAAATAATGCTATAGTAAATATCTAAATATTCAAAGAACTGAAAATTCTGTCAAACGATGATTTTCTTAAACATTTAGTAATATTATATCAAACGTTGTTCGATCAAACAAGGGTCAACCATAGTCATAGACTCACCCCCTATTACATGGAACTCGTAACATAAATAGTGAAAAGTGGGTGTTACATTGTACAGTGGCATTACGTGCCGTAATGTACACCTCTGCCTACCACTTCGGGGATAAAAGGCTTGATGTTATGTTATGTAGTAATCATAATTCCTCGACACAAAGTGACTGTGCTGTGCTGGGGTGGGGGGGGGGGAAGGGGGGATAAAATAAAGAATGTGTAACGACTTCGTACAAGTTTATTATAATATATGTATAATTATGTGCCTCTACTCCGTTAAACATAATATATTATTATTGTACATTAAATATACAACAGATGTGCTCACTGCCTCGGCCGGCCTCGAACGCGCTACCTCCGCGACACCGCACTCTACCACTGCACACACTAGTGTTTCACACATCATTTCACTAATCGGGAATCAAACCTTAGACAATGAGAGCAGAGACAGTCAGAACAGATATAGAGAAGTTAGTGAACAGATATACGGACAGACATGCTAAATAATATTAAATTACAATAAAACAGTACTTTATACAATTTTTAAATACAAGCGCGGTTCGTATTTTGGTAATCAATCTCAATATAAAATCTTTGAAACGAGATGTTTTGACATTCAAGTGTTTCACTATCTATGAGACAGATGTCAGCGGTGTAGCGACAGTGGCGCCACTAGTGTCAGAGAGCGCCGAGACCTGAGACATTTAGAAACAAAACATTAAATTTGTATCACGCGACAATGGCCCGTACGACCTCGGCACAGCGCTTACATTGGCGCGTCCTACGCGAGGTACGAGTACGTGTCGAGCGCCGCGGGCGCCCTCTCGAGGTATTGCTTGTCGATCAGTGCTTCGATACATTTCTTGATCATCGCGACAGAGGGCGCGAACGAGCCCCGAGCTTGGGATACTACTTCTTGGATCAACTCCGTGTGACGAAGTACCTGTTGGCACAAGTGATATAACCATTATGTTAAACGGTTTCAATTAGCTCTATTCTACCAATGAAGCGCTTTCGTTTGATATCCATAATGGAGATAGTTGTGGAACATTCGATTATGTTGTACGGTCATCGAGATTAAGAGTGTGTACCAAATATCAGATCGATCTGTCGTCAGGAAGGGGGCGACATTACAATTACTAAAGACCAAAACAAACGGGGCTATCTAAATAAAACCGATTAATATTAATTGATTGATTCATCGTCGCCGAGCGCAAACTGTTAATGCTACAAACATGAAGGTCGGACTGCTGTATATTCACTTTGTTATGTTTGTAGTCAACGGTTATCTTGTAAAATGCACAGGAAAAGAGATATTGCAAAAAATCTTCTTCATTTTTTTAAGATGGCGGCGCAGTAGTGCCTTTACCGAGGACGCAAATTGGATATCAGAAAGCGCTCATCAGAATTTACAATATTGGTAACCTTCAAAACTCCAGGCAACCCCCGCATTCCCGCCTTTATGATCGAACTATTAGGTAATATTGGACGAAATAGGGGTTGAAAGTTTGTTGTACAATCAAGTAGTACAATACACGCGGCAGTACCTTCCGTTGCTTCATGATGCGCACGATGGCGGCCTGCAGGTACATCTTGCGGTCGTCGTCGCAGTGCGCGGCGTCCCCCCCGTCGGCGGCGGCGCCCCCCGCGCCCCCCCCTCCCCCCTGCGCGGGCGCGGTGGCGCACGTCACGCGCACCTTGGTCCGCTTGCAGCTGAACGACAGGTTCAGCGACACGCGCGCCGCCGGGGACAGCTCCTCGTCCTCCGCGCCTGCCGGGGTACTCATTCTATTACTGTGGAACTGTGTCTGTCACAGCAATACAAGAGCGAACCCTAACATATGGGATGTCATGGCGGAAAGCTAAGAATTTGCATATGGACTATTAGTAGCAGGTAGTAACTAATCGCAGGTACATCCTTTTACCTCTGAAAAGCCGCGGTTAAAACCTAGTATAAGACACGTACCGAGGTCGCCGCTAGCCAGCAGTAGTCCGGCGTCCAGCAGAGGTCGCAGCTGTCGTCCCCAGGCGTCCCCCTCCAGCTGGAGGGTGTCCCTCAACTCGCGCGCGTTCCAGGAGTCGACGGTGTCGAAGCTGAGCAGGAGAGCGCACTGCACGGTGCTGGCCGACACGTGGTACTGCCGCGCCGTGTACCGGGTGCGGAGCTCCCCGCTGCACAGGTGGTGCAGCCAGGCCAGGCGCCGCCCGCTGAACATGTTCCGGTAGAACGCCTCGAACTGACGCGCCGGCCGCTCCAGCTGGGGCGGGGGCGCCAGGGGGGCCATCGCGCCCCCTAGGGGCCAGGCGCCCGCCTGCAGTACCTGTGGGGGTACCATACCTACTGTAATGTCTGCTACATAGTAAAATCAAGGCGAGTCGACTCTCGACTCGTCTCACTCGCAAACTCAACATTTCGTACCACGTCGGACCAAAGAATTCATTAAGCATCAATTAAACAACGTCCTAATACTACGCGACCATCGAGCAAGTACCGGCGCGCGCTGGTAAACACTGAGTGTCCTATCATTGCGCCGTGAGGCCGTCGACTAGAGAAAGCAGGCACATGGTCGGTACCAACAACCATTGCGCACGAACTTCAACGGGGGCTAATGTGGTTTTGCCCGAACAATGGCGCAAATGTAAGAAGGAAATTTTTTGTCCAATCACTGCAGCTGTCAAATACTGAACGTCCAATCGTGTAACACTAGCTAATCCCCTATTGGACGAAGAACGAGAAGTTTAAACTAATGCCATCGGGTGAGCAAAAGTACGGTAGGCCCCGTTAGGAAGTATTCGAATTCAATATATTTGGTCGCACGTTCGTACGAGTATAATTCGCTGGAACTTATGACGATTGGATTGATTCTCGTCTCTGAGATAGTGTTATAAACACTGCTGTAAAATGAATTAATTTGTGACCTCCCAGGGCGGGTGAGGCGGGAGAGTGTCAGACAACCACCAGTTAAGTCCTCTGCGGCATGTCGGGCAGCAGCCCCACTGGGCCCCATCCGTGGTCCGATGGCTCGTTCCTTCAATGTATGACACTTGTAGTTACCTGTATGAAGAAGCCGGTGCTGGTGGCGAGGTTGTTCTCCCGCAGGTGTTGCTGGAACTTGGCGTTGAGGTCGGCCGACACCGCCACGTCCGTGAACATGCGATGTAACTTGTTCGTGAACTCGTACCCGCACGCTGCCTTCAATCTGAAGTCGAACGTATGCAATACTAGTTAGGGTTGAAAGTAGGATGGCTTTGGAGGCGGAACATAAGACCTGGAGCAGATCATCAACTTCAGGTTGGACTATGAGCTTGTTCTCAATATAAGACGGGTCAGCCATAATTTCCACTTCCACTACTTTTTGTCGAAAAACTGAAGCACATCTATCCCACCGTTTCTCTTCTAGCGGGTAGGTATCGTATACCCGACAAGGGACTTATATTATTCAACATAGACTAGGCGAATCTTCTCTCTAGCAAATCTAATATATTTGAACCGCAATCTCCAACCTGCTTGGCAAGTGTTGTGATTATGGCAAACCCTCGTAAGAAGTCCACAGTCGTTGATGATGAGTCATTGCAGATGTAAATAGTCCAGCGGTGGACTGACTCCGGCGAGGAATATCACTCCTTACCAGGAAACTCGCAGCGATGCGCTTTGGAAATGCGAGTGGGGGGTTATCAGCCATGAAAAGAGGTGGTGACTACTTCCAATAAAATCACACCGTCACCAATAGTTCTGTTTCTACAAATTCTTTATAAAATGATATAGACAGCGCGATATTTAAGTACAACTTTAAATTGAGATTGAGAAGTATTTCAGTATGCGAGCGTGAGCTCTATATATGTATATATATCAGAGTACCGACCTGTTAATCATGGCTTCCTCCTGCTCCATGGACGCGCTGAGTTGATGTATGAGTCGCCGCGCGAGGGCGCGCGCGTAGTACTTCTGGAACACGTCCTTGTCGTCGACGTACTTGAACACGACGATGGCGGCGGCCAGCTTGTCGTCGACGTCCACGTCTGCGGCGGCGCGACGTCGCAGCAAGCAGTCGCAGTACCGAGCCAGCAGCTCGGGCGCGCCGCCGGCGCCCGCGCCGCTGTTCACGACCGCGCTACATGCCTGTGTGTACGGCACGTTGTATATGTACTTGTACATGTAATTACACAGAAGGAAGAATACTTATTGGTTCAGGGCGAGGCTCCATTTGTTCTGCGTTGCGTTCCGTCATCGAGTGTTGTTTCAATGGACAAGAGACTGAGCGGGAGGGAGAGTGATGCGTTGCGTCGACGGACAGTTATGACGTCTGTATCTGAGACGTCAGCTGCAACGTCGTGCGTCATCGCTACCCTGGCGGGGCGACAATGCGTTGTTCCATAGCAACGACGCAGCGCAACGGTCAAATGGGGCCTCACTCTTAGGTGTTTAGAATCAAGTTGGGAAAGCCATGCTTAGGTACGAATATCCGGAGTGATGCCACGACCTCAAAGACAACCGGCGTGGAAGCAAGCACACGCCGTGCGAGTGAGACTACCAAAGGTGTAATCCTCCCCCATCCCCACATCTCAAATCCCTAACCCCCAAAAACACAACAACGTAATAGTGACGCCTCTAGTGTTGCGGGTGTCAATGGGCGGTGATCGCTTACCATCAGGTGAAAACTGTCAACTGTCAATTTTATTCTACAATTCAGAATTAACTGATGATTGAAAAATCGGCCCTTAATGTATGTTGTCACAATTTTGAATGAAATGTCATTGATTTATTTGTTTACACGCGTGTGTACAGTCGGCCACTTTGAGAACTGACCCACTACGAGTTCATTTTGTTAGACATTCCAATATAAATAGTTCAGATAGAGATTTTCATCTTGTCATTTACACTGAGAATTATTAGATAAACCAACGCAATTGTACTTTTTTCTTCATGTTATTTCTGACCACGCAGTAGACGTAATCACATTCTTCCATTGCAATGATTCTGAGTAACTTATTGAATGATTGATTTCGTTCAATCACGAGTTCGGAAAATGATTTCGATTAAATAAAACAACGTTTCTGCATCAAATTTAATTCCAAAAAGTTTGATCGCAAAATATCATTCATCAAATATGTACGACAACAATATCCGACCCCTGTTGATAGACAGCTTGCAAACGATTTAGTATCAAGACGGGTCAGTGATCAAATCAGTCGATTGTACATACGTGCATACAAAATCCATACAATAATACGAAATAAATATTATTTCGTTCATTTCAAGCGCAAACAAACATTACAAATGTACAAACAAGCCATGCAAGCAGCAGGTAAGCAGCAGGTATATATATATAGCTATTCGTACTTTATGTATTAAGTTGTATACCTTGATTGATATACTTTAAGTTGGGTAGTTTCCGCAGCTGACATTTTTTTTAATTTTATAAACAATATTATAAACACACTGCCATTATTTCATTTTTATACTTTCGAAGTTAATTTGAAACAATAATATGACGTCACAATTCACTACCTCGTACACATTTCATAGTGATTTAAACAAGTATTAGCTTCGATTACTAGAAATCTACCCAATTAATTATTTGTTAAGACGAGACTATTAGAACTACAAGCAGACAGCACATATATACAAAGCACTACATACTGTATACTAGTGGGCCCCCTGGTCCCCGGGGCCCGCACGTACCTTGTCTAGGGCCCCCACGAAGGCCTGGGCCCCGCCGAATACTTCACTGAACAGCTTGCTGTACTTGCCGTGCAGTGTCAGCATCGCGTTCACGAAGTGAGTGTGGGCCTGTGTATATATAATACATATATTAGTTACTATCTCCGGAAATACTGGTACCAACTGAATAATTATTTTTGTGTTGGATGGCTCATTCTCGAGGAAGGCTGTAGGCTGTAAAACATCACGCTACGATCAATAGGAGCCGAGCAGAGGGGGAAACAGCGCAGGAGTAGCTAGTTACATGTACATACACATTTTCTACAAGGACGGGGCAGTATCTACATTACGAGCAGGCAGGACATTACATTATTATTTAATACATTTTCCAACTTCTTGCTTTATATATACAGTAGAAAATCGAAACTCAGTAGCTCAACACATAATACGACTCAGGTAACTTCTCGAAGATATTCGATTAGTTTCAAGCCATGGCAGGAGCGGGCAATGGCCGTGAAACTAATCGAGGATCTGCTTCGAATGGTAAGTCATATTATCAGATTAACATTAAATAAATAATAATTTATTCATATATGCTATCACAATTTATTACCTATTAAGCAAGGAAATACATACATAGTTGTTTCTTAACCTTTTGAACGCCGCGGTCGGCTATCAGCGACAAACAAAACATGGCGTGATCCGTCACAGTCGGCCAGAGCCGACAAGAGAACATGATTGTTGAGTACATTTAGTTTGTCGCGTACAGCCGACCGCGCCGGTCTAAAGGTTACATATATTTTTGTATGACTAAACATTTTGTAAACAGTACCATGCCATATATTTGGTCTAAAAGCGAACATTTTGTATCAACAATTGTGCATCCGTGCATCTACGGTGGGGACTTGATCTTTGCTAGATGCATAGTTTCTTTCCTTCGAGCTTGTAACTGTACGGACTAATTCGGGGACCCTTATGATCAGTTACACCAATCATCTCTTAACTAAGAGTGAGTACTTAGCGTGAGAGTTCTTTAACTATCCGTTACGTGGCACTTATTATCAGTTTGCTGTAAAATATAATGTCGTTAAGTGGCACTTATCTAGGTTTAGGGGTACCTTAAAATTTAAGAGAGGTTGATGAAAACACGTTTAAGTCCCATTATACTACATATCTCTGCTAACATGCAAACTAACATTTATTTTTATATTGTATTCACAAACGTCACTATACTATAGGTACATAGTAGGGAACTGCTGAGCTGAAGCCGCGGCGCATTGTAAACATCGTGAATTTTTTCAAAATAGTCGCGAACACAAACCGCTGCAATATATTTTATAAGAGTAACGTTTGTGAATAATTACGGTGGGTGTCGGCTCAGTAGCTTCGTATCATGTAGATATAATAATTATTATAACAGTTCACCAACAGCTATCGAGTAATATTCTTATATGTCCTTTACTTGGCGGAAGCCCGTAAATGACATTAGAACCGGCCTTAGAGCCAAGAGCAAAAAGGATTGCAAGAAAAATTTGAATACAAACAATATTATCTACACTCGCACTTTGATTACGATTGATGACATTAGCTAATGTCAGTTTGTCTAATGTTGCCATACTCAAACTGATATATCGATTTACCGAATAAAATAAAACATTAATGATTTTCAGATAAAAAGAAAAATATTTTTTTGATGTAGGTACTAAAGGTTTTGTTTCGTTTTAAATATCTTTCGTTTTATTGTTTTGTAGTTTTGAAACCACACTAATAACCAATTTGAATTCATAAATGTTTAAATTGAGATCGGATTATTGTTAAAACATGTGTATGTTTGTATACGCGTTGGTACTGAGCCGTCACTGCGCGACCCACCTCGGATCCGTTCCCCGTACAGTCGGCCGGCTGCGGACAGAGAGCTGTGTCAGTGTGGAGCGTGCCTACGTGGCACGTGTGGCGGGTGCACGACACACGTGACATTATACCACTACACAGGGACTGTAGTAATGATTACTTAACCCAGTCCTTTGTACAGTCAAAGGTCAAAAGTCCACCGTGAGTGATGTTCACACGGCAATGCGTAAGTAATTTCATATTAAACTGTCAAACACCAAGCGGTCACCGGTGACCGCGACCTATTGTTCTTTAATTGTGTCTATAAAACCGGTACTCGACGAGTTAATGTGCATAAACACGCGTGCGTACGCATAAACACACGCACGCGTACGCACACGGATACAAATATGTGTGTGCATGTGTGTATAAGCGCTGCAGCGCAACCGATAGTAGTCTTACGGTGACAGTGGACTTTTGACCGAACATTGTTTTCGAAACAAATTCGTTACTTAGGAATGGTTTAAGACGTTTAAGTAATCATTAAAATGTCTGTGACAAGGAGGAATGTCAGCCATTTTGAAACTTCGATCAAAATCGCGTACATACAGGGTGGGGGACTAGGGGAGAAGTATTAATGCCATTATGGGAGTGGGGATAGTGGTAGGGGATGTAATGCTACGTCCTGCGTGAGCGATCTAGAAGCGAACGTGGAGCGGCGCGCCGCGAGAACAACAAACTGTTGAAAGCTATTGAAGCGTCGTATGTGACAATACGCCCGTGAGACGCGGGGCGGAGCGGCGACAGTTGGTTGGATACATTCGTACGAACGTCATATTTGGTTGTGGTGCTATCATGTGGGAGAGCCATGCTTCGGCACGGCTCGACCGGAGTTCTTCCACGGCCGAGCAGAAAACCATAGTGAAACAACGCTTGCGTTGTTTGCAGACGTGTGACTTCCATTCCCCATTTCCCCAATCCCTGAATACCTAACAGTCCTCAAATTCCCAATTCCAAAAGGCCGGTAACGCACTTGTAACTCCTCTGGTGTTCCAGGTGTCCATGATTGCTTACCATCAGGAGATCCGTCTGCTCGTTTACCGGTCTACGCATAAAAAAAATGTGTTTGTCTGCTTATTATGACGGAAACATTAACCAAAGCGAAACGATTCGCGTGCACGTAGGACATGTCGCTGCGTCGCGTTGAATTCGGATGTCACCGCTTCATACTAGTGGTGGGCGTTGAATGAACGGACTGGTCCAATAGACCGGTCGACGGTCCATGAACGTATCAACTGTTCACGTCTGTCGGATAGACTAGTTCAATGCGTAGACAACTTCCGATGAGTCGACGACGCGACGGACAATACTAATACCTAAAATACCATGGACGCCTAATACCAAGAACTACGACAGATAAGCACACAATAATTGTAAACAAAAAGTTTTTAATTTTATTACTTAGAGGTTAAGTTTCATTTTCAAATAAACATTTCTATACTAATGACTTTTTATTTTCAAGCGAAATTTTAAATTTCGAGCTCGTACCTCTAAAAAAAGGACTTAAATAATATTTTTTGTAAAACTAATTAATTAAACTTTATCTTCAAGCATTAAGGTTTATAATAAACTGAAGTTTTCGGTTCGATCAACCATACGACTAGATATGGAACAAAAATACGTCACTCAAATGGCAACGTTTTTCTAGGAAATGTAGCGATTTTTCTAAGAAACGTGCACACGCATGTAAACATCTACATTTGCAATGCGAGCGACGTATTTTATTTTTGTTTTTTATCTAGTCGTATTCGTCTTGTTGATCGAAGCTTGTGCGTATAGTGAACTTTGCTTTGCATTAATTTCGTGTGTACTCTGTAACTGTAAATAAATAGTGTAGCGCGCGACATTCAAAAAATATCATTCGGTTAGCAACTAACGTTCGGGTATCCCCGCGCGCCCCGTCAGTCTCCGCCGGCCGCGCGACCGAACGAACCCGAGCAGCGCCGAAGCTGAACGAATGAGTCCGGTAACAGTCCGACGATCCGACATACGATCGCGTGTCGCGCCAAAAATCTTTATTATTGTTTGTTTTCAATGTTTTGGGCAAGTTTTTATTAAGGAACATTGTTACATAGTGTAGTGTGGCAAGTGTTAACTGTTGACTGAACCTTTGAGCCGATAATTATACGTTTGTGTGCTAAAATCCGTGGCGTTATTGAAACCCCTGTCCCGCCCTGTGATCATTTCCACTCTGAAGACCAGTAGTAAATTAGTGTAGTGTATATTTAGATATTAGGGTAATAGTTATATTACAGTGTAAAATAAAAGGACATACCTAGAAATAATGTCAGGCCGAAGCGAATTGTGGCACCATTTTGAAAAAGATGCTGCTAGCGGGAAAGCAATTTGTAATGTGTGCAAGGAAAAACTTGCATACAAATCTTCTACCGCAAATTTAAAAAGTCACCTTAAACGAAAACATATTTCCGTTTTCTCCGGACTCCAGTTAATAAATCAACCGCCAGCAAACCTGACTGTGCAACAAGCGGATGTATTGGGTGACTTGGGTGCGAGTTCGACATGTAGCGTACCTAGCACTAGCACCGCCAGCACCAGTACCAGTACCCATGTTCAGGATAAAGTGGAGTCTCTTGCAAAACGCCAAAAAATTATGGATACTTATCTAAATAAGAAGATAAGTAATGAACAAAAAAAACAAATAAATCATGATTTATTAGATCTTTGTGTGGACAGTTTTCATCCATTTTCCATCGTTGAGGAGCGTGCATTCCGTAAATTCTGCCGGTGGATACCCGGTTACCAACTGCCCACCAGAAAAACACTATCCAACTCCATAATGCAGGAAACTTATACAAAGCTTTTTGATACTGTTCAAAATCAATTAAAAAAAGAAGTCCACAGCATTTGTTTAACTGCCGACATGTGGACGTCATTGAAAACTGAGAGCTATCTCGCACTGACCGGGCACTACCTGACGGATTACCTAGAATTTAAGACTGTACTTCTAGGTTGTTGTCATTTTGAAGGTCATCATACGTCAGAAAATATCGCCTTTGAAATTGAGAAAATAATAAATAAATATGATTTAAAACATAAAGTTAATTTCATGGTTACAGACAACGCAGCCAACGTTGTCAAGGCAGTCAAAGAAAATTTAGGCTGGAAGCACTTTGGCTGTTATGCTCATAGCCTTAATTTAGTGGTCGAGAGTGCACTGCATCAAATAAAGCCACAGATTGACAAGGTTAAACGTGTAGTAGCACATGTGAAAAAAAGCACTGTCTCATCAGAAAGGCTACAAAAATACCAGGCTCAATTAGGATTAGAACCTAAACGTTTAATCCAAGCAGTTGAGACTCGGTGGAATTCCACATATTTCATGTTAAAGCGTTTCGTGGAGCTGGAAGATGCTATGCGGGCAACGTTGGGTTTCGTCGATAGACATCTTCCAGTCATTAATCCTGATGACTGGACTTTGTATAAACAACTGTGTCAAATATTGCGCCCCTTTGAAGAAATAACTTCTTCCATGAGCGGAGAAAAATACATAACAGGAAGTTCGGTTATTATTGTCACACGATGCTTAAAAGAAGCATGTCAGAAGCTGCTAGACCGTTCTGATCTGGTATCAGACGCACGCGATACTGTACTGCTTCTTCAGCGAGGTTTAGCAGAGCGGTTCAAATTAATTGAACAAAGTGGAACATTTGCTTTGGCCACATTCATGGATCCGCGTTTCAAAATGCAGGGCTTTTCGGACGCCAACGAAGCCATGAAAACTAAAGAAAAGGTCCGAAAATTAGTGGCCTCTATGATCAGTATGTCAGAAAACGCTGCAACACCTACAGTTACTCCCGAAACAACAGAAACCGATCACGATGAAGAGTTTAGCCCATGGAAAATATTTGACAAGATGGTAGCAACGAGCGTTGCTCAAGGAACGCCACTTTCGAGAGCGATAAAGGAAGTTGACATGTACCTTTCCGATGAGTTGTTGCCACGGAAAGATCAGGCAGGTAATTTAACATGCCCTCTGGAATGGTGGAAACAACACCAATATGTGTACCCTAATTTAAAAAGGATATATGTTACGCAGTGCAACATAGTGGCCACATCCGTTCCTTGCGAGCGGATGTTTTCTAAAACTGGACTTATCTTAAATGAAAGACGCACAAGATTAACCACCAGTAAAGTAGAACAAATAATGTTCATAAATGTCAATTCTACAAATGAAAGGTTTAAGGGCTTTGAAACCAAATAATATATGTATACATGAAGAATTGATTTGATTGTAAATAATAAACAAATTAAAAAAAGTAAGAAAAATATATGAAAATAAAAACAAAAATATATAAAAAAAATAAAAAAGACAAAAATTTAAAAAAAATATATAAAAAAAGGAAACAATCAATCAATCAATGTAAATAAAATCAGTTGATCTTCTAAATACGCCTGAATTTTATTCAGCCAGTCCTAAGCCTGGAAAAAGTATGAAGGGAAGATCAAGAAACGATGGTTTCTCTAATTACAATAACCAGTGCAATAGGCAGGTACATCGAACGCAGAACTGTTTACATAGTACAATCAATGTATTACATTCAGTCCACTCGACGTCGCGTCGCGTCAGTCGCTCGCTTGTCGACACGACCCATCGTTCATAATGTACGAGACCGTGAACCGTCTATATTTTGAACCGGTTCATCGACTAGTCGATGAACGAAAATGAACGGTCTAGTTTCGTTCACGCTAATACCGTCAACGACCCATCTCTACTTCATACTCGCGCTCGCTCCTAGATCGCTGACGCACGACGTAGCGTTGAGAATATTTGTTAGACTAGTACAAGAATAACAGCGACTTAGAGGTGAAGTGAGAGAAGACGGGCAGTCAGTGTTGTGGCGGTACTGTACTCGTGCGGACCTCAAGTGAGTGCTTGTGATCGGTAAACAAATGGTGTCTGTATAGCTTCGTGTGTCAAAAATATGATTTTGGCTGCCGTGCAACGTGTAGTGACTTCGATTCCAGCACGGAGCAACTTTTTGGGTGATCTACAAATTGTTGTTTCGGGTCTGGGTGTCATGTATGGGAATTGTATGTTTGTAAGCGCACACACGACACAGGAGACATTTGGAGTGTGGGGCAACGATTAAAAAAAACTTTGGGAGTGTTATTATAGGCGGGGTATCGTAAAATGGGGCGGATAGGGATCGAGAGGTGCGAGGTACAGCAGAGGGGTGAATAGATATTGGGAAATTGTTCGCAGTATCGATTGACCCCTCCTGTCTAGTACAGTACCGACCTCGTCCTTGGAGTGCGCCTGCGCGAGCAGCGCCTGTCCGTCGGCGGCGGCCTGCGCGTGCGCGGCGTCGACGAGCGGGCGCAGCGCGGCGGCGCCCAGCGGCCGCAGCAGCGTGTACATGCGGCGCAGGTCGGCGCGCGCGCCCGCCGCGCCGCCCGCGCCGCCCGCGCCCCCCGCGCCCGCCTCGCCCGCCGCGCGCCGCAGCAGCGCCGGCGCCGTGGCGTGCAGCGCGGGCAGGTGCGCCGCCACGGCCGCGCGCTCGTAGCACGCGCGCACCGCCTCCGCCGACGAGCTGTCCAGGTAGCGCGCGCCCAGCGCCACCTGCGGGGCAATACTCTGTATACCGGCATTGACGCAAACCTCTAGTCTATAACGACCATAGCGGGAACCTACAACTTGGCCTTTGAGTACCGATCGAGACATCCAGGTCAATATTCCGCCCGGAGTATTTCCGATACACTTGCAGATTCATTACAATCATTTTCGTTTAAAAATAACGTCTACGACATGTCGATGGGTGCCCAAGACGGAAATCTCCTAGGAGCGGATCATCAGACACAACGACGGGCAGGAGATTATGGCAAGTTCCTAAAGTATGTCCCACAACCGCATGAGCATTACGTCTATGAAGGGGTGCCAGAAGACCTCCCCGTGGTGCACCCTGGGTACAGGTGATAGTCTCCCTAAGGGGGGTGATAGGGTTGGAATGGCTATTGCCGGCATGTTTCGTGCCCTGACAGCGAGTAGCATCAGGGCATAGGTTGTCCTCGATTGCAGCCGTCAGAGTCGTAATCCGGGAAGAGATTATGGTCTCATGACTCGGAACGGGAGGAGGATTTGGCTTGGTCGCCCGGACCGCGAGGACGATAACCTTTATAAATAATTCCTCCAATACCAAGTTCTGGTGCGCGGCGAGGGTATGCGTGGCTGAGGAGTAGTAGCAGTCGCGAGCGCACTCCCAGCTAGGGTACCGGTGGACCCTCTAGTTGGGGACTAAATGTACACTTACCTAGGAACAGGGGGCCCTCCCTAGGTGGACCATTTATCCCCCATTCTCGTGGGAATTGTACGGGTATTACTAATAAAAAAACATTTAAAAAAATGATGGTAATGAGTGCAAAAATCTAGTTCAAGCAAGAACAGTTCGTGCCCAGGTACGAAAGGAATGACAACGCGGTCGCATGTTAAGCGACCGGCGACACCAATGGGAGGAGTAGCTAGCGACAGTGGTGAGTCTGATTGCTCGCAAATGTCGTCGGTTTCCCAGATGTCGACGGTGTCAGTGACGGCGCCGGCACGCAAGCATACCCGAACAACTGCTAGGTCGGTGCAGACTGCAGTAGAAGTCCTGTCTGGATCCGATAAAGACGTTTTGGAGAGGCCGACCAAAGAAAACACAGATCTACGATCTCAGGTCGCTAGCCTCAAAGAAGCTGTTGCGGGACTTACAACACCAGCTAAACCTGCTATCCCAAGAGGGAGCAAAGCAAAAGTCGCAAGTTCCTGGCCTGTCTGTGCCGGCTGGTCTGGCACCATACGGAACGGAGGCTAAACTTCGACGCTCCATCGCCATTGAATTTAGCGCTATGATGGGCGCGAAGCTAGCTCTCGCCTCAGATGCTAGGAGACTTATAGCTTCTGAGCCAGTCGAGACACAGAAGAACACTGGAAGAAAAAAGAAGAAAAGGGGGCAGGAAGTTACCGCAATTACACCAATTGCGGTTGCATCATCACCTGCACGAGTATCCACTTCTACTGCTAAGGATAGACAACCGGGAACAGCAAATTCCCAGGATGCCACCACGTGGGCACGTGGTCATTAGTGGTGGGACGCAAGGCCAAAAAGGTGAATGCTCCACAACCAGTAGCTTCATTCGCCTCGGCTGCAAAGGCCACATTATCAAAAAAACCGTCAGTGAAACTGCCAAAAGTTCCCACTTCGGCAGCGATCACTGTACCTACGTGTAAGGGAGGGAGCAACAATAGGTCTAGGGGAGGTACTTATTGAAGCAAGGAGACGAATCAATCTTTCGGAACTCGGTATCACGAGTGACTCATGCCGTGAGAAACGTGCTGGTGATGGTGGGATTGTATTCATGATCTCAGGTGTGGATTCTTCGTCCAAAGCTTATCGTCTTGCAAGCCGTATGCCGGAGGTCCTCGGGGAATTAGAGGAACAAATTGGGTATCCGATTAAAATGGCAAGTCCATGGATCTAAACGACGGTGTAACCTCTGTGAAGGTGGCCGCGGCTATTATTAGGGCGAGTGGATGTTCCACGCAAGAAATAAAAAGTTGGCGAAATCCGACGTCCTCCGTCCCCCTTGGGGCATGTATAGGTGCGTGGCCCTCTGGTGGCAATGAAAAAACTGGCGTTCAACAAGCGCATTCCATTAGGTTGGACGTCAGTTAGAGTCGAGGTACTGCAACCGCGTCGCATGATGTGCTACCGTTGCCTCGAGCCGGGACACGTCAGGCGCATGCGTATTAGTCCTGCGGATCGGAGCCCCAAGTGATAACACTTGTTTCCAGTATGCTCAGACCAGGGTCGCCCAGCAAATCACCGGAGTCAGCTGCACTTCAAAGTGCAAGCAGTCTAGAGGAAATAGACACGTCACATTCCCAGCCATGAAAATCTTACAGTGCAAGCAGTGGTTCAGCGCAGTGCGCAGAATTTATTTTTGTATCAGTGGTGGTAGCAGTTCTATGGTCTCCAGGATCATCCTCGCTGGTTCCGTGATACTGTGGACTCGGTCGCACTTTACTGGGCTAGTGGGAGTGGTAGGCCTCACTGTGCCCTGTAAGACAGGGGCCAGGGAAATGTGGCTGTTAATGGGGACCACTACCCGTGGTGGTATGCTACGTGTCACCTAACATCTCTCTTCCTGAGTTCGAGTGGTACCTGGATGGGGAAGCTAATTGTATTCGGTAGAAATGCTCCTCCCGCCCGGTATTAGTACCGGGTGACTTTAATGCTCACTCCAGAGCATGTGGTAATACTCGAGATAGGCCTAGGGGACACGTAGTGCAGAACTGAGCGGCTTCAATTGACTTCAGACTTAAAAATCGAGGATTAATTGTCACCTGAATCCCCAACGATCCTCAAACTCCTAACCCCCAAATGGCCGGTAACGCACTTGTAACGCCTCTGGTGTTCCAGGTGTCCATGGGCGACGCCGATTGCTTTCCATCAGGTGATCCGTCTGCTTGTTTACCGGTTTAAGCCATAAAAAAACCTGTCCGGTGGCAGGGTGAGTCAATTTTTAACCTAGCTTGGGCGTCTCCTTCTCTAGCCCCCAGAATTATGAACTGAAGGGTGGCCGAGGAGATGGTCACACTTTCCGACCACCGCCACATTGTGATCTATGTGGCACCCAGTTCCTCCAATAGTCGAAGTCGTCCAAGCTCTAACCCATCGGCACGACGTTGGGCTCTCCAAAAGCTCGATCGAGAAATGCTTATGCAAGCGCAGCTGCCAACGTCGCTGCCTAGCCAGCATGTGTTTGAATGTGTGAATGTTTTTAAAGGATCTCACCCGATACAGAAGGAGAAGCGGCTTGGTTTCGGGACAAAATTACGTCAATTTGCGACGCTTTTTAGCCCCGAATCAAGTACTGACAGCTACAACAACTACAACTGACAGCTACAACAAGGAGTAGCTTACTGGTGGTCGGCAGACATAGCACACTTGGCACACTGAGGCACCGACGCCAGTTCCAGCCCACCCGCAGTAAAAGACAACCGAGCGCCACGGAAGAGCAAATCACTTAAGCCTACAGAGCGTACAGGCAACCATGACGCTCCAACACGCCATTGCAAATACCAAGTTTCGGTCCTGGAAGGAAATCTCGAGGGGCTAAACAGGGATCCGTGAGGAAGACCATATCGTTAAGTCATGGGCAAACTCCGCCCATGGGTTCCTCCCCTTACGGAGACAATGGATCCGGATCTACTGGAAAAAGTGATAAAAACACTCTTCCCAGTGGTTAGACACAGTCCCTAACTACCTACACCATCGTCGGATTGTTGAACAGAAAGAGAGTTGCACCGCGCCTGGCTCGGATGGTGTCCCTGGCCGTGCGTGGGTGTTGGCTCTAGATGCTTTGGGGGACCGTCTGAGGCGGTTGTTCAACAGCTGTCTTCAGCCGCCGCGTGTCCCCCACCCATTGGAAGGAAGCCCGATTAGTTTTCTTGAAGAAACAAGGCAGGCCCGCAGATTCACCCTCTGCATATTTTCACATTTGCCTGCACGACGGAGGTTTCCAAGCTCTTTAAAAGAGTTATAGCTGAAAGGCTCGTCGGGCACCTGACGCGAGTTGGTCCCGACCTGTTTGAAAACCAGTATGGTTTCCGGTAGCAGCGTTCCACAATAGATGCGATATTGCGCAGAAGTTCGCTGTCGGATCAGGCAGTGTCCCGGGGTGGGGTCGCGTTATCGATAAGCCTAGACATCGTTAACGCCTTTAATTCCCTACCCTGGAAGGCAATCAGGGAGTCCCTTGTTCATTACTGGATTCCTCCCTATTTGCAGAACATTGTCGGGGCTTACCTGCGCGCCCGGCACATTCGCTATGTGGGTCGGGACGGTAGCGTTCAGCGGAGGGAGATTACGTGCGGAGTTCCACAAGGATCTGTGCTGGGTCCTTTATTGTGGAACCTCGCTTTACGATGTGGTCCAGCGTGTCGAACTTCCCGCTGGTGTCCGTGTAATTTGCTATGCAGACGACACGCTGATAATGGCCAGTGGGAATACTTTCGAGGAGACTATACTGCTTTCCGAGCTCAGGATGGCAAAAGTCGTGGCTTCAATCCATGGACTGCGTTTGGAGATAGCGCCTAATAAAATTGAGGCTCTATGGTTCCATAAGCTGCCGAAGACCAAGTATTTAGGCCTAACCTTGGATGGTCGGTGGGGCTTCGAAGAGCATTTCGAGCGCCTGGTACCTACCTAGAGTTGAGGAGGCAGTGGGTGCTTTGCATAGACTGCTGCCTAACACTGGGGACCCTCAAGAAGAAGTTCGCCGGCTCTTAGCGGGTGTCGTGCGATCGATGGTCCTTTACGGGCCGCTGATTGGTCAGCTCGACTGTCAGGCGTTCGATGCTGCAAAGCGAAAATTTATCGTTTGCAGCGGAAAATGGCCATCCGTATTGCACGAGGAACGGTGTCTTTTGAGACGGTAACTCTCCTGGCTCGCTTCCCGCCATTGGATATTCTGGCGGATATGAAGGCGAAGGTCTACGATCAAATCTCTCCAGTATCCCGTACCAGGAGTAGCGTTCATTAGCTTGTGGCGGCAAGAAAGGCGACACGCGCTCGAACGATGGCGTGAGCGGCTACAACAGACGGAGCTCTCACGTGAGCGCGTCGTCGAAGCCATTCTGCTGAACTTCGAAGCCTGGCTGAAAAGAGAGGAGCGCGTATCCTACAGCCTCACTCAGCTGCTAACCGGGCATGGTTGCTTTGGTGAGTACCTGAACAGGATTGGGCGAGAGGCCACGGCAAATTGCCATCGGCGGCACTGCCGAGGTGACTTGGATTCCGCACAGCACACGTTCGAGGAGTGCCCAGCGTGGACTTCTGGACGCGGGTCCTGGTTGCCAGAAACGGGCGAGACCTGTCTCTGCCAGCAGTAGTTAAGGCTATGCTGGCAGGTACAGGATACTGGAGGGAAGTGGCCTCCTTTTATGGTGAGACTGTAGTTACATACCAGATATACCAAAAAAATTCAGCACAACAAACGGTTGACCTTTACCCGTACATGGGTAGTGTGGACCTAGGTATACTCGTACATCGGTGCTAATAAATTTGTCTGAACGAGCTAACCTAATAATTTTCTCTATGACACATAGTCTACATAGTCTATTCATGGAGGAAGGCTACAAAACATGACGCTACGCCGCACTGACCTCTCTCTCCAGGCCGGCCAGGGCGTGCGTGGTGTAGTGCGCGATGTCGCCGCCGGCGAGCAGGTCGGCGGCGAGCTGCGCGTGCGCCGCGGCGGCGGCCGCCAGGTACGGCTCCAGCACCAGCGACTGGTACAGCGACAGCGGCGCCCTCACCCTGAAGGCCCGCACCTGGACTGTGGAACGGATCGCTTCGCGGAGGGTGGACGCGAAGGCCGGGTCGGGAGTCGAACTCCGGGCCGCTGCTAGACCGCGGACTATGCGACCTGTGTGGCAAATATACTTCAATTAAAATATTTTAAAAAATCCGGATTTTATATAACTTAACATTTATGGTCACGCAAACTGAACGTGTGTACAATATTTGAGATCAACCGGTTGAACATGTCTGCTGCAACATCCACTTGCAAGGTTCCACTACACACACACACACACACACTCACACACACACACACACACACACATACACATATATTGCAAGTAATGTTTGTAACAAGGGCGCCCGCGACTGACCAGTGAGTGCTGCGGACAGTGGTTTGACCAGTACTCGCTCCCAGATCTCCAGCCCCAGCTCACCCACCTGCAACGATATACACCTATATATTATCACCGTGTATACAGTATCACCATCGTCATACTTATCACCATCTCTTACTTAGGGTAGATGACGATCTTTATTTCAATGTCCGTCTGGTAGATTATTTAAAAACATTAGACACGTATTTTTTATTTTCTTACGGAAACATATACTTGCGACGATATATTAATTTGAAACATCGCGTGACGTCAGTTTTGTCTACGTTTTGTACTCAAAAATGACGTAGACGTTTCCCTATACGACAAAATAAAAACACACGTGTCTAAAATGTATTCATTACTTAATGGACGGACTAATTAGATTGTTAATGTCCATACTCCGTCATCATCTGTATTGTAACTGCTCCTCTATAGAATGTCGAGACAATATTTTCTTTAGGTTTCCTTTTGAACATAAATGTATCAGGGAGCTGTGTAAACTAACGAACAAGCTTGAATAACTAATTAGCTACAAGGCTGGAGATTATGAGCTCCGGTATAGCTCGAAATTAGTCGAGCTTCCTCGAAAAATGACATAAGTAAGCCATATTATATTAATTTTGTATGTTTCGGTAATTCGCTAGTTATTGTAATAATTGAATAACAAGTCTCACCTCGAGTTGTCTCGCGTCATGCTCGGGGCACGTGACTGTAGCAGACGAGCCGTAGATGATCTCCGCGTCAGACACCTGCCAGACAATATTACACTCTATGCACATAGCAATACAGAATACTATACTATAACATATATTTTGCTCGTTCTTCTCCATAGGAATCTACACCTTGGAATGAGCAAATACCTTCACTTTTAAATTTTTTGTTGACGTGCTAGATTGCCTTCCTGGACTAATTGAAATAAATGATTTTGACTTTGACTGGTTCAAACTGAATATATTTTTTATGTTATATTTGATAGGCCGACGTTTGACCACTATCTCGCCTAATGGTAAGCGATGATGCGGTCTACGATAAGCAGCCTTCGTCCCGTAAGCAACCTATTCACTCGGGCCTTGAAGACTCCCAGGAAACACAGACTCTGGCGAAGAATTCCACATTGATGCGGAGCGACTATGTTGTCCATTCGTCCAGGCAGGCTACAGGCACAGGCCGGGAGTATATCGTTAGTTGTTACCTTCTGGCGCTTGACGTGTTGCAGGTTGAGGTACGAGTACAGACTGTTGAGGTACGCCACGCCCTGGCTGTACTCGCGCCACGCGCTCACGTATCTACACAAACATACAGACATCATTACTTGCGACAAAGTTTGCCATATAGTATATACCGGGGCTGCGAACCGCCTCGAATTTAGAAGAGTAATGAAAATGGAAGTCGTACTGTACATTAGCATCTAACAAGAACATTCTAGATAGTCCACAATTGTGTAGCCAAGTTACATGTACCTTGTGCCGGACCGTCCTACACTACGCTGGGGGCCCTTGGATACACAATAACACAATAAATCCTGTGTCGTGGGGCATTCACAAACATAGCTCACATACACGTGACACCTAGACTCGAAACAACAATTTGTGGATCACACAAAGAAATGCTCCGTGCGGGAATCGAGCCCGCGACATGTAGCACCATGTAGGTGTGTGTCAATCGTAGAAATTGTCAGTATTTTGGGGCAACTGAGGATGGGGGCCCTGGGCACGGGCCCCGAGCGCCCTCGTGGTAAAGGCGGTACTGACCTAGTAAGCAGTCCATCATTATGGTCATTGTTCTCCAAGGCGGCGGTGCCGCGCACCCGCTGCAGGAGCCCCGCAACGTGTTCCTCGAGGAAGTTCCTGGTCTCGTCGTACAGCCTGTCGGCCAGCGGCTCGGGGTGCGCCACGCAGAGCGCGTACACGTCAGAGAACCGAGTGTTCCACACAGAGCGCTCCACGGCGCGGAGACCGACCACTCCCGCCACCTGCACCAGCAACTCACGTATACAGACGTCTGCGCACGCTGCTCAGTTATTTACGTGACTAATATACAAATACACAAACACACTCAATTATAAGTATGGTCACTACGAAATAAAGTGTGTGTGTGTGTGTATTTTTCATTAAATAAGTATTAAATTAATTTGTAACAATGTGATAGGAATGGTATGCAAAACAGCTAACGACTTATTTTGAAATATAATTAAAAGTAATTTAACATTCGGAATGGGTTCAGTGCAACGGTTATTATTCTAAAGTGATTTCTATTTTGACTACAGTAAAGAGGTTATTTGTGTAAAGTGAACTGTCTATATAATTTCTATTTTTCATAAAACAATGACTTTCAAACCATTTTTTCCTTTCCAATAAATAGGTAATGATAAAATTAAAGTCTGTTTTGACTTCATACAATTTTGAAAATTTCCTGTTTTCGAAGACATGACAATCATGTTGATCACCAGAACAATTTATTTTTATTTCCCATCCTACACTGTTACTGGTGCCAGCATATACTGCTAATGTCAATAAAAGAAACAGAACATAATTATTTTGCATGACCTAGAATTTGAACTAAGGGTCTTGATATTGTTTAATTATTATGTATATTGAAGTAGTTAATGTTGTTTGTCTATTATTGTAATCCCCTATTTATTTTATTTTTAAATTAAAACAATGTGACCTCTGAGTTTGTTTGAGTATTTCCCTTTCTTGAGTCAGTTTGTTTATTTTCGTTTTATTGAGAAGGATAAAAGTAGTGCTTTATCATTAACATTTGGTAATACATGCGGGCACCAATTTCCTCCAGTTCTAAATATAATTAATATTATTTCAATTGGAAGCAAGCACACTGTTACATGGGACTCATAACATATCCAATATAAAATCATCAACAGCCAATAAGAGATCACTGATAGACTAGGTTGCCCTACACACAAGACATTTGGAGATTACAATGTAAAAGGATAACATTTATCTAAATATACCTATATGAATGAATATCTAACAAAATAAATGTGTATATTACCGTTTCCTTGAGGTGCGCCCATGTCTCCGTGAAGTCAACGTTGCGGGGCTTGAGAGACATCATCACACTCACCTAACATGAACCTGCAACAACACTCACACTCACTAACACTCACTACACTCATTACTGCGTGCTTACACAGTAACATATATATTTTAAAAGAGTAACAATAAGGTTTCTTGCTTGTTCTTCTCCATAAGAATCTACACTTTGGAACAAGCACCTAGTGTCACTGACCAACTGTTACATTTGGATGTTTCAAAAGTCCTTGTATGTAGATAAATAGAATTAAATGTGTTAATGTTGATTGTACTACAACAATGGACCATCACTCTCAGTGTGCTACAATTTTAGCCAAAATTTTCTTCTGCTATTTATAACAGTATGACTTGCAATGTCATGTCTCTCTTGTCTACTGACAAAGGGTTCCTCAAACTTTCTTCAAATTAAGTAATAAATTTGTGGTCCTCAGTAGTCCCAAGACTAGGTAGATGTTCCACTTGTACACAGTAATAAATGGTGAGCCTCTTTGGATCACAGCAGTCAACACAGACAACTAACTGTGCAGTACATATTATAGTACAATAGTGTGCAACATTGTAGTTACAATATATTCTTAGATGTGACACCAGCATGTGACGGGACAGCCATCTAATAGGAAACATGTACAACATACATCACCAGTCTCAAGTCTCTAGGAGAGGTTCAAGGTGTACCAGTGCAATACAAAACTGCAATCTATGTAGTCTGTGCACTGTTTACTTATTGAACTGTTCATACAACTCACTGTCATGCTCTGCTGTTATCACAACACATACACGCACGAAACTATTCCGACAACTAATTATTTACTAATTGCATTCTAATGTGTTAGTGTAGCGCCACTATATGGGTCACTGGACGTGTAGAGAACGCAAGTCATCGCGACCATTGTTCGCCGCGACCCAGTGCGAGGCTGAGGGTGCAAGGCGACGACCTTGCCCCGGCCACCAGCTCGCAGCCAGCGCTGCGTGACACCCATACGGCAGTCTGACAGAAACAACGCAATAACCGCACAGTCACCGCTCGCACAAACTTGGCACGATGTCAACTTCGCACCAACAGACCGACCGCTGACCGCCACAACACACCAGCCAGAAATTACTCAGCAGGATTGGCACAAAACAAAAATAATATAATAACGATGCAATGACAGGCACACACTTATACACGGAACTGTCCACTCGTTGTGTTAGTACATCGCCTTACCTCAGCCGTATCGTGTAGCCCAATATCACACACGATAATTTGCAAGACAACCGTCGAACTTTTACCTTATTTTAACAATAAAAATAATCATAATCAAATAAAAGTGGGTCCGCAGCTCTGTATCACTTTAATTTGACGTTTCTCTCTAATGTTGCCACTTGCCAGCCTAGATAAATAAAATGTGCGAAATGACGCTCCGTTTCTCATTCAATCAATATACTGGGAATAATTGTAAAAAAAATATTTATTTTCTATGGGTAATTTGTGAATAAAGTGAATAATTAAAAATGAAGAAAAATAGAAATAAAGTAACATTTTTCGATAAACACAAATCGTTGATAAGTACACATAGCATGCATGTTTTCCTCCGAAATGCAAATGGCGAATTCCTTCGTTACATCAGTGCCGAAAAACCAATAGTTATTATTATTTAATCACGTTAAATACTTAAAAGGCGTAATATTTTTCAAAAAACCTAGGAAGTCTCTCTCCTTACCTACCGAGTTCAAATCTTCATTTACAAGATCGTTACATAACATAAATATTCAGCTATTTAATGACGGTAATTACTGAAAACAAGCGACTGTTTCAGATTCTCGCAGATATTATTAGTTTCACTAGAACTAGAGGTCATTGCATAATGTTGTGCATAAATAAAACGACCCTCGTCTTACTTACAATATTTTAATGAAACCCATTATCTTACATAAGTACATTACATTAGAACATTTATTTACAACATCATATTAGCATATTTACCTACTTATTTAGTTTTCCGAATAGGTAAGTCTTAACCGCTCACGGTCTAATAATTATCATCATTATTAAATCAAATATTTAATAAGTAATTTACACAGTGTGACCAATCGTCAACATATTTTTATTCATATTTTAGGCACTTCATTTAAAATATAGGGCAATTATTATCAGCGCTGGAAAGTGGTGATTAAACTCAAATCTTATTTAAGTGTAATTGATCAGCGCTGTCCTTAAACCAGCAACACCGGAGGAGTTACAAGTGATTAGATTAGGTGTTAGTCAAATATGGTGATGAAAGTCTCCTCGTCTACACGTATTGTATTTAGTATATTGTCCAACATATCGCAATGTAGTCAGTGTGGCGCGGCGAGCCCGGCCAGCACCGGCGAGCTTCTGAACACGAACCGCGGCAGCAGCAGCATGAGGAACCGGTACACCAGCACCGACAGCATCAGCAGCACGAACTGGTGCACGCGACGCAGTCTGGAACATCACACCATGCCATTACACAAACTTCAGTTCCCATTCGATCCACCTCGCCTAGAACCGCCCCGTCCCAAGGCTCCAACAACTGCACAATAACTGCGCTCTGTCCGCAGCTTCGGGCTCTACCACCCTGATGTTGTGTACTGGTGTCCATGGGCGGTGCTGATTGCTTACCATCAAGTGATTCGTGAACAGATGCAGACTACTGACCTCTCGACAAACTTCTTGGCGCGGGGGATGTTGTCATCCTTCTCCTTCAGCAGGAACTTGCGCGTGCCCTTCACGAAGTTGCTCACGTGCTCGTCCCAACTGTGGCCATACATTTAATATAATATTAGTATATTCGATATTGTATATGTAGAGAGCAGAGTTCCCTTAGTTCAGCAAATCATCTCCAAAATTTGGCAGCCTCAGATAGTCCTCCCCCATGGCTTCCACCTAGGTCGGTTGGAAGGGACCCGCATCCACCGGCTGCCTGCATTCAAGAACCTTCTTGCCCCCTCATCTATCGGTTCTCCATGCTATGTGACCCACTGCCAGTTCTGTAAGTGCATGTGATCGTGTGGCGGTGTACTCACTCGACGGAGGTGACGTCGAGGTTGTAGAGGTCCTGGTCGGCGCGCGTGAGGCGGCGGCGCAGCGCCTGCACGTTGCGCGTGCTGAAGTACCACTCGCGCGTCGCGAAGAACGCGAGCACGCGGTTCATTGCTTGCAGGCGCTCGCTGACGGTCACCAGGCTCAGTCTGGTACAGGTACAGGTACACTTTCAATACGATCTTTCTTTTGTACGCAATGTACTATTGTGCAACGCGGACTACCAATTTTTTGCTCACTAGATGGCGTTAGTGGAAACTTCCCGACGTTTCATCCAATTGAGAGAATTAACAATAAGATTCCTCAACAGTTGCAATGATTGGACAAAATTAGAAATTAGCGCCATCTGGTGGGGAAGTAAATAGTAACCAAGGACGTTCAAAAATATGGTAACCCTCATCAAATGTCCCTACAGTAACTTCGGTTCAATTGACTGTGATCTGAACGTAACTAGCCGTGTACTCACTGTAGTTTGATCCCACACAGCCGCGCGATGTAGTCCGCGACGTACAGCGGTATGGTCTGCAGCACCAGCTCCAGGGACTTGTACACATACCTGCGGGGGACGCGGCGCCATTGTCATTATCACAATACAATATTGCTTTCAATACTAGCGGGACACAGTGCACTGCCCGGCCAGGAGCCTCCTCTACGTAGGAGTTACCATAGTGTTCACGCTCTGGCAGATAATTCGTCGGTCGTTAAAGAGAGATATTATTGGATCTCTGTTAAAACGTGTAGCGCCTTAGTCGGTTCATACAAGTACAACATCGGGCGGAGCAGGGGGACGCGGCTGTAGCTCGGCTGCCGAGCGGCCGCCATGAATTAAGAGTTGCCTGGTTATACACACGACTACATATCAAGCTATACAGAACCAGTTTATTGCGGTCTCGCTTCGTACAATGGTTCCACATTAACGACGGTCAGCTAATACTGGTTGCTCATAGCTCGCTGAGTAGCCGTGTGTACCCAAGCAATAGATTCATAATTACACTTTGCTAGAGACAAACACACAGTACCTGTTCTTGATGCCGAATGTGAACGGGTAGTACATGAGCTGGTCGAACGGATGCGCGCGCGCATTGCGCACGACGCGGTCGCGGAACGTGCCCCACGTGATGGGGTTCTGTTGAGAGCACGAGTTGTACACCCGCACCTCCTCGCTCCTGAGTGGTCGCCGCGTACACAAACAAATAATGGAGTGTTTCAGTTTTTAATGGATTGGGGGGGGGGGGGAGAGCAATTATTGTTAGGGACGTGTAACACACTGTGGTAGGGTGGCAACGGTCCTCTGTGCGGCGGCCCAGTCGCGCTGGAGAATGGTATACCCAAAAAGCATGCAATTACAACTTAGTCGCATTTTTACAAACATTATTTTGAAAAGTGTAGCAGAGCCATGCTTCTAATTTTTTTTATGGCATAACCATAAAAAAATAGTATAGAAATATAGATGAACACAATGAATAGTTACGCACTTGTCGGTAGCAATCTCCCAGGCGACCGCGAGCATGGTGTCGATGGTGATGTCGACGGGGATGAGGTCGGCGCGCGCCGCCAGGTCCAGGTTGAAGGCGTGCACCAGGCCCTTGCCGCAGCCCACCACCACGCCGCTGGGGCCCGCCAGGTTCTCGATCCACCCGGGGTACGGGTGCCGGTGGGAGGATACCACTGCACGTACAATATTGCGTTAAATGGTGGACTATAGGCCTCCTGTACATAAACGGACTGAGAGTAGTGACAGATGTATTGTACAGCATTGTTACCACTGCTGGAGATATGGACCACTAACATATTATATGTACCTACATGTACTCATTTCTTTATCCACAGGATGTGGTCAAACTACAGGGCGCTACCGAATATGATCGCACCCTCGCATCTTGTTGTCGACATCATCATGTCAGGTCCAAGACGTCCCCTGCTGCACACATTGTGTCCCCTTACTGACTTCTAAGTAATGTTAGCATACTTTTCTACGTTATATAGAATGTACGGTCAGTAGAGTGATGTACCTATGGAAGGTCTGACGATGGCGGTGGCGTAGTGCTTGCGCGGGCGCTGCGCGATGGTCGCCTCGGCCACCGCCTTCGAGAACACGTACGTGTTGGGTTTGGGTGCGATATACCTGTGTGTACAAAAGATGCAGTACATTGTAGAGTATTTACATGGAGCAACAAACAGAGAGTTACAGAGCATCTGATAAAGTATGGCAGACAAAGAGGGAGCCTGTGCCCAGCAGCGGGCCGGGGATGCCAGCAGGCGAGGTACCTGGCGGTGAGGTCGTCGAGCAGCGAGGGCGGCAGCGCGTCCAGCATGGCGCGCAGCCCGGCCAGCTGCGCCGGCGCCTCGTACACGCGCTCCTCGATGTGGCGCCGCTCCGCGTTACTGTACGCCGTCGACACGTGCACCAGCGCCTGCCGGACGTACAAACGCTGTCATAGCTACGGGCCCTGGCCTCCGTTAAAGACCACAGAGAACTGGTGTAAAACAAAGTCATCGGAGCCTAAATCCGGGGAGGATTTAGGCTCCGATGACTTTGTCCAAGTCCTAATTCCTGAATCTTCAAATCTTCAAATAGCCGAAAACGTATTTTTAATTCCTTTAGTGCTGAGAGTATCAATAGAAGGTGTCGATTGTATACCATCAAGTGATCCGTCTACTTGTAGCACCACTACCCATTCTATAAACAAAGGCAGTAATCATCCCACTGACCTCGAGCCGGGGCAGCTGGTCGCAGAGCTCCATCAGCGCGACGACGGAGGTGACGTTCTGGTGCAGCGCCGTCTCCAAGCTCTCCCAGAACTTCACGGTGGCCGCGCTGTGGAACACTACCGACACCTGTGCATGGAAGCAACATTTAGTATTTGTCACCACTGCTTCTCTTCCTGGGGCAGTCGTAATTGTAAAAAAATAGTCATCAAGCAACAGCGGTCTCTGGTAATCCACATCCTTGTAGGAACACAACTACGTATATTGTGTTGACGCATTACTAGCACAGATATCGCACGCCACCGGGGATGCGGTAGTCGTCAAAGCTTTTTCGGTTCGGCCGATAAATTGCACAAATCCTTATACTTATCATTGTACATAGTGCGATACATAAATACGTAGGAATAATATAAGATAGAACTCGCCTCCCGCAGCTGCAGCAGGGCGGCGTCGTCCAGGCCGAGGCGCGGCTGCGCGACGTCCCCGCATACGACGCGCAGCTTGTCCAGCTGGCCCGGGCAGTGCGCGCGTACATTGTCGAACGCCTGCCGTACACGGTACAATGCCATTATATATTTACAGAGTCAACTCACAGATGGCGACACATCACGTCCACAATAATTTGTAAAGTGAGACTCCTTTGGTACAATTTTCTGCCCGGCTTGACCGGGGAGTGATGCCACGGTTTCACAGGAAATTGGCGTGATACAACAAAAGCGTTATGTTTTGTCGTGTGAGTCAAATTACTAGGGGCGCAATCTTCCCCCCCTCCCCCACATTTTCCAATCCCTAAATTCTAAAAAGGCCGTCAACGCACTTGTAATTTCTTTAGTGTTGTCGATGTCCATGTGTGATGCCCCGATTGCTTACCATCAGGTGATCGGACTCTTTGATGGAACTCTGTTCTATAATGTATAAAAGATGGTAGGTGTCAGGTCCTACCTGCGACTGCTTGAGCTGGTTGAGTCGTGCTCGCGGCGGCTGGCCTCGCTTGTCTCGCAGCAGGAGGTGCACCTCCCCCACCTCGGGGCACGTCCACAGCAGGCGCTCAATCAACACCTGCGAACATACGCGCCTTCATACCTTACAATATGTATTAAACTATAATAAATAGTACAAACGGCTGAAATAATATCGACAGACCTCAATCCAAAATATTGGTTTTTGATACAAACTGCTTGCCTACACTCCTGCAGCGCCTACGACTAATGTCAAAAATACAAACAATTCGGATTATGCTACGAATGTCTACGTGTAGTGCCTGCTACGTGGCGTAGCTCTCGTAGCGAGTACGTAGCGAGTACGTAGCGAGTTCGTAGCAGCTTGTAAAATGGCGACCTCGTAGCGATACAATATGCAAAGTTAACTATTGTCCATTACATAAGTTACAGAATTAATTGTAATTTTGATCGAGGGCTGTGAATGATTATACAAGACTGCATCAATAGTGTTACCTTGCCGAGGAAGCCGGTGCCCCCCGTGATGAGCACGGAGCGGCCCGCGTAGAACCCGGGCAGCAGGGGCCCGTCGCCCGGCTCTGTCGCCGACATACCGCCCTGTCAGCAACACCTGCAGACCAACCGCATACATCAACTGGTGGGGACGCCAGAATACAGTCAGTCAGTCAGTCAGTCAGTCAGTCAGTTCAGGAATCTGATCCTTTGAAGTGCGATCTCCTACCCTTCCGTCAATCGTAGAAATTACGGCGTCCATAGTCACATACCCACAGCTTCGTGCTATATACTACATAGCCTACCTACATATAGTTATAAATATATATACTATAATAGAATATTGTGTTAACAATTAAATATAATATAATGTATGTTACATGTTGTTGATTAATTACACAAACATACATTGTCCATGTGTGCTCCCTGACCCGCGACTTATTTTTATAGACAAGTAAATAATGTTTTATATTTGTTATAATTATTAGCACCGAGCCGATGTTGAATATTCAGTAATATATTATAATCATAGACAATCATGAAAGAAATCAAAGTGTTGCATACTGTTGTCGCATGGAGTCAGAGGTCGGCTGTGTGTCGACACTCATACTACATAGTACATACTGGGTGGGTGGTGGACTGGTGGGGATCCACCTAGCTGCTTACTAGGGGCGTACACTACGTAGGAGGCTCCTATGTTATATGCACGTGTCATTTATAATAACGTTGGATTATGTTTACTGTTCTTGAATATTGGAATGCAATAGATTCCGTTATAACCGACTTCAAAATAAAAAGAAGGTTCTTAGTTGGAGCTGTATGTATGTTCGAGCTGTATATATGTTTGTGCGCAATTATTCAATAAAATTAAAACTAACTATTACTAAATTAAATATATACTTACAGCATAAGATAAAAATTAATCAAATTAATTAATTATTTTTTTTATTAAATGTTAATAGTTAATGACAGTACACATAACACAATTCTTTTACAAACTACGGTTAAAAAATCGAATTCAACCCTCGCCTTTTGAGTGTTATATATATATACTTTGTACAGTGTAGTGAACTGTACACTACTTTTTATAGTTAATTGTTATGGAGTAAAGTACTCGTAGATAGTTAAGTTTGAAGTTGTGAGTGTAAACACTTCTAGAAGTCCCGAAAAGTTTATTTTTAAAGGTTACAAGTAAGATTGTTAGGTGATTCTCACAGTGGTACGTTCGGTAGCGAGTTGAAGTGCACACTGGTCTACAATTGAATGCCGCGACGGAATATCGTCCGATATGTATAGTCATCATAATAGAATAAGTTTAATTAACATAATTAGTGTACGTAAACCGTACATACTTATACTTTCCCCTAAGTGTAACAAACACTTAGCAGAAAATCGCTTCGTTACTATTCAACTAGGTACCTATTTAAGATTGTTTACACGAACGTGTAGCTCTAATTAAACGTTTTGACGAAAATAAACTACCAAGTCCTTGCTCAAGGCTGGATACATAACATAAGTAGGACCCAATAACAATCTGCACAAGGGAGTCGAGCAGGGAGTCATAGTACTGGCCACCTTGTCTGTGTCTGTCTGTGTGTGTGTGTGGTATTATGCATAACTGTAATAATATCACTGAATATTGTGAAGGTCGCGCGAGTGTCACACGTACCTACTTATATGTTACGTCTACATATATATGTATAGTATACAATTAATGGCACAATGATATAAAGTAATAAAGAAGTAAGGACACTTCACTTGTAAATATGAAAACGAAAGTTTGCATACATTATGTAGGAACGTCTCTCACGCGGCGCTGAAATCTTACATCAACAGTGGGGGACACTCCACTGGTGGGCGATGGCTCGGTGTGAGCCGCCACGCTGGCGAGTAATAAATAACTGAAGTCAAACCAATATCCAGGCTCTCACCACGTAACAATGAGGTCGAGTCTGTAATCTGCGTCAAGCGGACGATTTTGCGATTTTGACCGAGTAGCAGTAGCGAGTCGTCGTGGTGGCCGGAGGTTTAAACCGCCCGCTTCTCATGCATGAGGGTGCAGGTTCCAAACTTACCAACGGCAAGTACCAATGTGACTTTTACTGAATTATATGTACTTTCTAAAATCATTCAGACGCCACTGACAAACGGCGAAAGAAAACATCGTGAGGAAACCTGGGCTTATAAATTCTAATTATAAGTTTGAAATCGCCAACCCGCATTGAGCAAGCGTGGTGATTAATGCTCAAATCTTTTCGTGTGAGAAGAGTCCTTTGGTCAGCAGTGGATTTATAGACTGATGATGAGCAGCAGCATACTCTAATGAACCTAAACATCTTGAACTGTCAACTAAGGAGGGTATGGCGAACCCATCTGTTATAGTCGTAGTGCTGCAGGCTCCAGCAGACAGCGGCGCACTCTCCTACGAGAACAGCGACACTCCACTACCAGCCGCCGCAGGACGCGGGGATACAATGTCGCCGCCTAATGCAAACATTATGCAAAGTGGGTGTCAAGGTCGCACTCTGCAAGTGTCGCTACACGGAACCGAACCCACATCCTTCAGGGAGAACGAAGCACACAACATGCAAGTATACGTAGGTAAGGAGTCATCATCATCAACAGCCTATATGCCCACTGCTAAGCAAAGCCTCTTCTCACACTGAGAAGGTTTGAGCATTAACCACCACGCTTGCTCAATGCGGGTTGGCGATTACAAACTTATGATTAGAAATTATAAGTCCAGGTTATCCTCATGATGTTTTCCTTCACCGTTTGTCAGTGGTGTCTAGATAAGCTTAGAAAGTACACATAACTCGGAAAAAGTTACGTTGGTACTTGCCGTTGGTAGGTTTCAAACCCGCACCCTCATGCATGAGAGGAGTCTTAAACCTCCGGACCACCACGACTATAAGGTAAGGAAGGTAAGGAGTACCGTCAACTAAAATAAATTAACTTAATTGTACAATGTAATCGTCTCTGGGTACTACAATTAGGTAGGTGTAGATAATGGAAGAGAATGGACAATTGGAGGGACGAAGTTACAAGACATCGCTTCTGGTCCCGAATTCGATACCCGAGAAAGTTATGTAGCGACCCTCATAGTACGGACAAGCTGAAAAAATTTTGCACTCATTTGAACGCGCTAATTCCCGAAAACGACATTAACGTCACGACTTTATATTTTCTAAGAAAATAGTTATCTACGCCGAGTACTGTAACATAATATTACGCCTTTCAACCCCCAAGTGGGATAGGCAGAGACTTACATGTCATTAAAATTAACATCCACTTTTGAACGAATAAGTTATTAGTGTCGCATGTAACAAGGGCTGAGCATTGCCCGTGCTACATGCCAGGCCCCACTCCACACTCCGTGGTACAAAGTGAACATGTTCCTGAAACTGACCGACCCGGGGATCGTTCAAGTACTCCACATACATTGGGAAATGAATGACAAGCACTCACCTCGGTTCTTGCAAATGTAACGCCGAGCTCCCGCGGGGAGTGACCACGCCGGCCCGCAGTGCACAGCTTGTATCCCTGTCGTGTTCGGACAGTCGACTGTCTGACGCGAATGTTCACTCTTCTATAACAGTACTGCAGGACCCGTGCTCATGTCAACTATATAAATATATACTGAGCGCAATACGGAAGTTGTGCGCGTCCGTGCTCGTCCGTGTTCGCTGAGCAGGTGTCGGAGTGAGGGCCGGCCGGCGCTGGCGGCGCGTTATATCGCCGCGTGTATGCTAATGTATCGCGTCCTCGTCGCGACACTGCGCACTATATGTAGGAGCTCAATGTCGGCACTTGTATATGTGACTGTAGTATGGAGTGGTGGAGGCTTTAATATATTCCTAGTAGCAGACGGCAATACCATTGTTACCACCACTACTCTTCCCGTAGGTGTCACATACCCGACTAAGGAACTATAATGAGACCAGATTCACCTTGGTTAATTTTCTTTATTATCATTTAAATAGTTGTGTGTGTGAGTAAATAAACATATTGTTGCGCGAACTACTCAAATGATATTTACTTTTTGTGAGATGTCATTTTTATTATTTAAGTTAGTAGTAGATGTGTGGTGGTCGTGGATGGCTCCGCAGTGAGTGCGTGTGGGTACAAAGTAATACAAGTCGACATAATGTAACAAGATATTTATTTCGCACAAACAATTAAATAATACGACACTTGATGTTGCTACTATTTACAAAGTACTTCACATACACGCGCGCGACCTGCGCTCGTCCTCGGGCCGGGTGTGGGACCTGGCAACACAAAGACACACATTACCATTTTAAATAAAAAAAAACATGAATGAATAAGGAGTGGACCCAGTATTGTGCCCTAAGGAACACCATTATATTGCAAATTGATATCGAAGAAGTAACTCAGTGATCATTTACTCAAGTGCGACATACATATAGGGAGACATAAACATTGTTGAGTTAGGTAAGATTCATTATATGTGTACTATCTCGGAAACATCGCGGTGTTCTCTATCGAAAGCTTTAGAAAAGTCGCAACAAATCTAGTGCAATGTAGTTATTATACAACTACGTTGTGTAATAGTATTATATGTAGTGATTAGTGTACTGACTCACTCGTGTAGTGTCCCCTAGAGGAAGTTGGCGCCGACCCCGAACTGTATCCCGGGCGCGTGCACGTCGTGGGGCTGCGCCCTCAGCGGCACCGCGTAGTTCAGCTCCAGTCTCGCGCCGCGCCCCAGTCTCACGACCACCCCGGCTCCCACCGACACGCGAACCAGCTTTAGAGACTCCAGAGACTCTAGGCCTGAGTTCTCTATACAAGGAAGGTTAAAATCTTTACGCTTATGACCAATAGGAACCGCTGCGATAGTCTTTGTCAGTCATTTCCTCTCAGTCAGTAACTTGTACATGCTTGAGAGTGTTGTATTATGGAGCTTCATGGATGTCCACAGCACCGCCGATGGTGGGTTGAGCAGTGGCAGCCCAAACATATATTTTATTTAAGAATTTCCTCTCGATTGGAAACTTGACTAATTTATAGCCGACATAATATGTTGTAGAAACAAAAGCATCCGCTGGTTACACAGCGGTGGCATACGTCAGATGGTCAGTCAAACATTTGAAAAAATGATATTTCTGAAAGTATTTAACATTATATTCAATGCGCTATGTAGCTGGACCGTATTAAAATATTATTCTGATATTTTTTGTTCATTGTACTGGTCTTTAAACAAACTAAATGTCGAAACACAATAATACGGTTTGTACAATCTGCGTGCGACATAATGAGTATAGTACAGTACTGACCTGGCATGGCGAGGCAGCCCGCGTTAGCGAACAGGTGCGAGCGGAACAGGGACGCCAGGCCTGTGCGAGAGCCCTGCAAGTACATGCATTGTATTATATGTCACTGTATACTATTACTATAGTATAATACTCTTGAAGTAGTCTCTAATGTAGTAAACGATAGTCGTGTACAGTCGCCAGCAGATCGAACTATCCTTCTGTTAAATTCCAAATTTCATACACATCGTTAGCTTGTTCTGTCCGTGACTTTATCCGCGAATGGAAATGGACTCGTCACTCAATAATATAAAATACCTGATGCAGGTTGCTCATGTCGCGCAGTAAAGATACAGCTTTCTAATGGTGACAGGATAATATTAGTAGAGTGAGCGCAACAGTGACCTGGAAGGGTAGCGGCGCGTAGAGATGCAGGCCGGCGGCCCAGTACAGGCGGCCGCCCGTGGCCTGGCCCTCGCAGTGCGGGCCCACGCCGCGCTGGCGGAAGCCGCGCAGCGACGTGGGCCCGCCCAGGAAGAAGTGGTCGGCCAGCTCCGTGCCGAAGACGTCGTGCAGCACGCCCAGCGCCGCCGCGGCCTGCAGCACCAGGTCGCGCGCCAGGCGCCGGTTGGCCTGCGCCAGCAGCTCCGTGCGCACGTGCGCCACGCCGCCGCCCAGCCCCGCCACCTCGCTCGTGAACTGCACCCACGTGCCGCGCGTCGGGAACATGGCCTCGTCGCGGTGGTCCACGCTCACCACGTGCCGCAGGATCGACTTCATCTGCGGACCTGCGCCCTGCGTCAGCCACGCGCTCCACTCGCTCTACACCCCGCCACTACTGTCAGTACTCACCGCTGCTCTCGCGGACCTTGAACGACGTCGTCTTGCTGAGCACGGACGTGTCGCGCACCAGGCCCTCCCACTGCACGTTGTGGTGCGTCTGTACAGAGTACACTGGTCAGTGCCGGCCACCACGGACGGGGCTACAGTCACACAGTATAGGAATACACACGGCGGGCGACGTCTTGAAGGCGATGTCGAGCAGCGCGCCGCGGTCCAGCAGCCTGTAGCCGGACCACGGGTACTCGTGGTTCTGCTGGTACACCGTGCCCGTCAGCACTGGCACCAGCGGCTTCTGGGGGAACGGCTTGGTGGCCGCCACGCTGAAGTTGGACGACGAGCGGTAGCCCATGCTGTACTCCGCGGCTATACGCTCGCCGCGGCCCAGCACGTTCGGCATCTTCACGCCTGCACCAACCACCAATAACAACCGGAATACTCCGAGCAGTAACAATGCGTTATTGATCGTAGTGTGATGTGTTATGGCCTATAGCCATCTTCAATAAATGCATTATGTAACACGGAAATATTTTTCGCGCGTACAAACAAGCGAACTAGATGAGATTTGAAAGAATTGTTTCTGGTGAACCCCAGCGAGTGTTGCGAGTGTCCACAGCCCGCGCTGGTCTCCCACCCAGGTGTACTGTGTACTGTGTACTGTATGTGCGTATATGTACGACGTATGTAGGTATATATCTCACCGAGCACCAGGTTCCCCTCGTTCTCGCTGACGGTGGTGTTGATGCCGCCCACGACGCGCGACAGCTCGCGCACCTGGAACGTCACCTGCACCCGCCGCACCAGCCACGGTGGGGCACTACGTTAGTGATACTGGCTGGCACGAACCATTGCAAACATTTGTCGTGGCGGGAAGGACAATCAATAAGTATTACACTGCATTGATATAATAATGTATGTATTGAGGGCCGGCCTCCCAGTGCGCGCGGAGTATACCTCGAGTCCCTCGGGCGTGGCGCCGGGCCCCGACGACACGTCGATGAACACGCCGATGTCGCGGAAGCAGCCCATCGCGTCCAGAGCGCGCCGCACCTACACACACACACACACACATACATACATACACGGGGTTATGTGTCATTGTTCATTAAATAATTACTTGTTTAAACCATGCGGTGACCGTAGGGTTGCCACCTGTACTCTTTCTGTGGGTATGGTTCGTATACCTGACTAAAGGACTACATAACAGAAACTAGGCAGCCACAATGACAAACTTAATTGTAGAATGCGATCTCTTCGTTTTAGATTCCCTCTCGCGTAGAGGAGTCCATCCCCGTGCAGTGGACGCGAGCTGCTCGTCATGGATGACTGAAGATGTCCACAACGCGGAGGTCGTGTCGTTCATCATCTAGAGTTTACGATGGTGGTAGACTCGTGTCACCTTGTGCGCTCGCAGGATGACATCCTCGAAGTCGGTCGCGTGGAACAGGTCGTCGACAGTGCTGCGGATGATGTCGTCCTTGGTGCGGTTCAGACCGTCCACGTGCACGCGGTCCACGCGAGCCTACGACATTGCAATATATTACTGACTGACTGACTGACTGACTGACTCGTTAGACGTTAGTGCGGGAGATGGGCGAGTAAATACAACATACAGTAAGTATTATTCTCTCTGTACAAGGAGCAGGGTGAGGACAAACAAGATTCATATCAAATTAAATATCGTTAATTGTGACGTAGCCAGCTCCCACTCCATCTTTACATTTCAAACTAACAAATATGTACACATTCAATATTAATCATAGTACACGTTAGTACACTACAGGGGGCGCTGCACTCACACTAGCGTACACCACGTCCGACTCCAACACCTGCAGAGATTGAACTGTTACATAGCTATCAGTAGCCACTGGTCAGTCAGCATTGTCTTTGTATTGTATGTAGTACCTGCACTATGTACTAGCACAGTACGTACCCGCACTCCATTGAGTTTGATGGTGGGCTTGGAGATGGGCTCGTCGTCCATCTCGAGCGGCTCCTCGAACTCAAACAGTCCGCCGCCCACCTCGCCCACACTGTCGCCGTGCGCAGACTGCAACATTATTGCAACTCATTCAATATCATCAACGTCCTTACATTCGTGGACAAAACCCGTACAAATATAATACCATACACTTGTCATGTCACCATCTCTCTGATGTCATACAACTAGGTTATTTAACAGAGACTCCCAGCAGTACCAGACTTTCCTAATTAGTTGACATGACATAGTGAACAACATGTACGAGTACATCAGTTGATGCCGACACTGTCACATGTGTGTGTGAAGTAGTGTCATTTGATTTGTGTTATACTATTCACATTGACAATATGATTACAAACATAGAATTTTATAAAATCATTTTAGTTTAATAATGTCCACTTGCCGAATCACACACATCAGTTCAGTTTTCCAAAACAATTAAACATACATGAAACAGATCTTCCCGGCATATGTCACTCCAGTCAGACGTTGTACTGCAAAGTGTAAAGTATTGCATTTACCGAGTTCAGTGGCTGCAAGTACCGCTGTGTACTGCTCTACAAGGTGACAGGCATAATGTTGTAATGTGTACGGTGGTTGATACCATCACACAGTTATGCGAACACATTCAAATGTGGTGTTAGGTTAAGAAATGTTAAACATAGAATGAAAATGTAAACACACTGCTACTTGTGCTAGTTATTGAGCAAGTTCGTACCATTCAGGACCAAACCGAGCATGTTATGTAGTACTACTTAAGTTATGTACTCCATTTAACTTTGTGTGATAGTGTTGAACTGCATATAATAGGTACATCGTGAACTGAGTGGAGAGTTCTCACGTCCTGTTCGAACACAGTGCAGCAAGCAGTCGGGCAGCGGCTGGCCAGTGATAGCCACGGACCGTCGTAAACACACAGCAAGCATACAAGGAGCGAGCCAGCAGGACCCGAGCAATATAACCTCACAGCTTCCAATCAAGCACCGCACGGACATTACCTTAGCGTGTACTGTTCCCATCACGACAATGTTACACTAATTCTAATCACAAATTATTACTTTGAAGAATAATAAGATAGAAATTTAGAATTTTTTATTTTGAAATTACATAAACAACAGTTTTGACAGCTGACCGGAATGGTTTTGTATAATGGCAGCACCTTTATTCAAACTGTCATCTCGAAATAATTAAGTACATAAAAAATAAAACAAATAGTCCAATTTATATAATAAATAAAACTTATCTGAGGGAATGAATAAATCTAGTCAGTATAAGGGAAGAAAAAAATTAAATGTAACTTTTCAGCAGCATCAAATAACTGTTGAACTGGCAATACTGATACGTTCCATTTTACGATACCTACCAAATATTTATGTTGGAAAGCGCAGCGATTAAGGTGACCATAAGTGCAATGTGAAGCAATAAGAGGGACGTGTTACTGTTAGGAATAACTTTGATTGTCTTAATAACTACTTTACGCTACTTACTTAAGGGCGAGGTGGCACACACACTACACCAGCATAGACGTAATAATAATGAAATTCCCATTTTGTATGAAGAAATTGACACGAATTTTTTAAATGTATTTTTTATTTGTATTCATCGAAGTAATCAGATCACCCATGCAATCAATGCATCTTTGCCGACGCAGTGGCAGTTTATTGATTCTTACAAAAATCAGCTGGACGAGAGGCAACAAATTCTTCAATGGCACTTTGTACTGCCTTGTACTACCTTGCCTTATACGGCCGGGTATTGAATTTTTCCCGCCAAGAAGTTATCCAAATTCTGGAAAAAGTAATAGGTAGTCTATAGGCGCAAGGTCTGGATTGAAATTTCGTGTCACTTAATGTTATCAAAGTTCTTTTTAATTCAGTGTTTATGTGATAATTATGAACAGAAAATTAGTCGAAATAGTTCACCTTTATGCCAACAGTTGCAGTGAAAACAGTTCTATCGAGCTATTCGCATCGTAACTAAACTCATAACTCGGACATGACATGAATGAAAGTCATGCAGTGCTCATGCATGCATACTGGCTGTTACCCAGAGATTGCAAGTGATCAGTGCTTGAATTGAAACATATTAAAACAAGTGTCGTGGTGTTGCATAGTCCAATCAGGGCGCTTACTCTTGAAACCAATCTCAATGTCAATGCAATTTCAATCCAATATGATCTCAATAATTATTAAATGTCAACACTATACAACCACAATCTTAGCTGTTACAATAGCATTCAGAGTACGGAATATAAAGACAAACTCAATACCATTTAGTTCATTCAATATCTACGCAATACGGATGCAATGGGCTCTAGTATTGCAACTCAAGAGTACGAAATTTCACAATACCAATGTCGATCGATCGGAATTGGATTCAAGAGTAAGCCCCCAGTGCATTTGTGTAGGTACTGTGCACAGGTAGGCAGATTGCGAAGATGAAAACTTCGAACGAAATCTCCGAGTGACACAGGTATGTAGATACCTATGTAATTTATTTAGCTACTTGTATGTTTCGTCTCTAAGGACACTAAGTTTTAATTTGTTTGTTTGTACCTATTCAGTACACATGCATTTAGTATTACGAATTACGAATCAGCTGATCAGCCCACCAGCTGATAACTACTGTAGGTATCTACGCGGATACCTATTTAAACAATGTTATTTATTTTATCTTGTTGAATTAATTCTTAATTACTGTGCTATTATTGTATTGTTTCTGTGTTGTTATACTCTGTCGTTTCTTTGTTTTTCTATAAAGCTATATAAATGTCTGTATTTATTTATTCTTTTTTATATTATTTTTGTATCTGTGTGCGTGCCTACTGCCGAATAAATGTTTTTTCTTTCTTTCTTTCAAAGCAACCGATTTAACAGTTGAACTGAATTTACCTAAAATGCGTTTTGAATAATAATAATATCATGCCCGCAAACAGCTGAGCGCTTGAATCTTTAGGAGCTAGGTAGGAGAGCCTAGTGTCCTAGAGGAGGTTTCTTCTTATCTTCTAGTAGTAGTGAAACTCCGATGAGAGGTGTTGACAAGAATGATTTTATTTCGCCAACCTACGCTACTTATATTTCTATTTACATATTTACAACTAGACAAGATTAGATATAGTTAGGTGATAGTTTCGACCAATAGCGGCGCGCCGGCGTGCGCGGGGCGCGCGGGGTGCGGGGCGCCGCTTTGCACACGGCACTATCGGTTCCTTCCGTATAAGTATGACCGCGCGGCGCGAGCGCGCGCATTTCTCCGAGAGCCGGCGTCGAGTGAAGACTGAAGACTACCTACAGATGAATGAAGATGAATGCAAGTACTCCGGCCTCCGGCTCTGGCTCCGCTTGCGCTGCTTGGCTGCTTGCTTCACCAAACCGCTTCTTTCGAAGCGATCGCTCGTGGCACGGTGTGATAACGCTGTTGCCGCAGTGATGATTATCGTTTCTATGCAGGAAAGTCGAAAACTGTCTTTTTCAAGACAATTGGTTTCTGGTTTCTTAAAACGGAGTCAAAACGTAAACTGTCTTTTTCAAGACAATTGGTTTCTTGTTTCTTTAAACGAAGTGAGTCTATAACTTTGGTAAAGGTATTGTGGAAGGTATCTGGTATATGGAAAGGTATTCGGTGGTACTGGTAACTGGTAGGTATGTAGTCGTGCGGTGCGGCTACAGTACTCCCCCCCGAGCGAAGCGTACTGGGGTCTTGACGATTCTTCCTGTTCGCGTTTTTCGTACATCGCTGATGCTCGACGGAGGTTGACTGGGTTGATCCTGGATAGCCTCTGGTAGCGTTGCACAGTTGTCCGAGTTATCGTAATTAATGACGTAGGCAGGCTTCAGACGCTCGATAGACACGTTGGTAGTACCTCTAGGTGTTTGTAATGTGAAGTACTTGTCGCTTCTGCTGGAGACTAGGTACGGACCCTTGTACGGACGTTGCAGCGGTTTGCGAACTGCGTCGTCACGTACAAATACGTGGCTGCATGTTTGCAGGTCTTTGTGCACGAAGATACTCAGTCGGTTAGTGTGCGACTGATAAGCGGGCGTTAAGCTTGTGATAACACGATGCAAGTCAGCCACATAGTCGTTATCCATCTTCGTGTAGGTAGGCGATGGCGATATGAAATCGCCGGGTAGCCGTAGTTCTTGTCCGTAGGTAAGTTGAGCGGCACTAGTGTTAGTGTCGGTGCGCGTAGCGGCTCGTAGTCCCAGTAGCACGGTAGGTAACTCGATCAACCATTTGTTGTTGTCGGCGAGTCGAGTCATGAGCGCGGCTTTCAATGTACGATGCCAGCGTTCTACGATCCCGTTACTCTGCGGGTGGTAGGCAGTAGTACGAGTTCTTTCTACTCCCAGTAGCTGAGCGAGATTTTTGAATAAGCTGCTCTCGAACTGTCGTCCTTGATCAGTCGTGATTTTGATAGGACAACCAAAGCGTGATATCCATGCTTCATACAGCTTTCTTGCGACGACTTCGGCTGATATCTCTCGCAGAGGGACGGCTTCTGCCCAGCGGGTGCAGCGGTCGATCATAGTGAGTAGGTATCGATGTCCGCTCGAAGATGTAGGCAGAGGTCCGACGATGTCAATGTGTACGTGTTCGAAACGCTCGCTCGGTGGGAATGATGTGACGTCACTGTGCGTATGTCGATGTACCTTTGATTGTTGACACTGAATGCATGACTTTGCCCACTCGCCAATGTCGGTGTTCATAGACGGCCAGAAGTATCGTTGCTGCATTAGTTTGCGTGTAGTTCGAATACCAGGATGACTTGTATTGTGCACGGCGTTGAATGCGATGCGACGAAAGTCAACTGGTAGGTATGGACGAATGTGAGGCGTCGATACTTCGCAGTAAATCAGCTTGTTTGAAGTAGGTATGACGATTTTCTTGAGTTGAATATTTGTTTGTTTACATAGGTTGAGAATATTGCTGTCCTTTTCTTGTGCTTGAGATAGTTGTTCGTAGTCTATCGGCGATGGTAAGTCGATCGTTTCAACGCGTGACAGTGCGTCGGCGACTACGTTGTTCGCTCCGGTCACGTGACGTAGGTCGGTCGTGAACTCGCTTATAAACAACAGCTGACGAGTGCGTCGTTGTGTGTCGTTGTCCGACGGCGGCTTGCGTATTGCGTAGGTAAGCGGCTTGTGATCGGTGTAAACAATGAGTTCTCTTCCTTCGAACATTTTTCTAAAGTGTTTGATCGCCATATATATTGATAATAATTCTCGGTCGAACGTACTATAACGTTGTTGTGTTTCTGAGAATTTCTTCGAGAAATAGCCGAGGGGAACCCACTTGTTGTTTACAAGTTGTTGTAGGACAGCTCCAGCACAGGTGTTCGATGCGTCACACATGAGTGATATTGGTTGAGTTGGTGACGAGGATGGGTGAGCGAGTAAAGCTGCGTTTTGTATGCTAGCTTTACACAACTCGAATGCTTGAAGTGCTTCATTGTTCCACTCGATTTTTGTTTTATCGCGTTTCTTGGAGTTATGTAGAAATGCGTTTAGCGGCGCTTGTATGTGGGCCGCGTTACGTATGCTGTCACGGTAAAAGTTCACCATGCCGAGAAATCGACGTAGGTCCGCTATTGTTTCGGGTTTGGGGTAAGCAGTGATAGCGTTGACCTTATCAAGTGGAGGTTCGATTCCTTCGCTCGACACTTGATATCCTAGGAACTTGACGTTTTCTTGACCGAAGACGCATTTTGACGGGTTTATAGTGATACCGTAGTCATTTAGTCTTCGTTACTTCTTGTAGATCTTCGATGTGGCGTGCGTTGTTTTCTGACGCGATGATTACGTCATCAATGAATGGAAATGCGAAGTCTAACCCGTTGAGTACTTGATGTATGAACCGTTGGAATGTCTGTCCCGCGTTTTTTAAGCCTGGACACATTCGGGGAAACTCGAACAAGCCAAACGGGGTTGTTATGGCTGTTTTCTCGATGTCGGGTTCGTAAACGGGTAATTGTTGGTATGCACGATTCAGGTCGAGTGTGGTGAAAATCTTCTTGCCG